ATCCATATGCTTTGTCCATCTATATTTTCTCTCTTTGTGATCAAATGTGTTTGTGCAAAATATACCAAACACAAGCTCCCTGTAGTCTGCCATCAGGTGATGCAGGTAAGTGACTTTGCAGCAGCACAATGTTACTCAGCTCCCCTGGGTCAGGGTCCCAGTACATCCATTTGGATGAAGGCAGTCTGAATGCCATTAACTGTCCTCACATGGCTCCCACAGCGATTCAACTCTGCAATGTGGCTTTTCCTGGAAGACACTGGTCAGGATAGTGCATCTAGTGATGGAAAGAGGACTAAAAATGTTTAGTAAAAGCTGCAGCAATAGACGGACATTAAAAAGAGATGCAGGGTAAATAGGAGGCAAAGCCAGAAGAATGTTCATAGGAGCAAATGAGTACATTCATTAGAGGGAAAGATGATACTGTACAGTGTATGAATGTATTGTCATAGTAATACGATACAGTATTATTTGACCTTTTTTACAAACTAGAGAAGGTTATTTGTGAATAAACTTTCCATTCTCCACTTTCAGTGACTGTCTTCTATTACCTTACACTGCCCTCTGTTGGCTCATTTACAAAAATCTTGTCTTGTGAACTAAAAAGATCAGAATTACTTGTTTATTCTCTGTGATTTTTTTTCCCAGCCAAAGATTTATTTATTTATTTATTTTTGCCTTTCAGACAAAGGCTCAAAAATAACTCCCAGTGATGGCTTTGATTCAAATTCATGCTCTAACAGTCATCAGTCTCCACTCCGTGCTCCAATTTAAATGTCTCTTCCTCTTGTCCGGCTGCCATGGTGAGGCCACTGTCTCCAGAATGACTCACAGTGCGCTGCTTACAAATGCGAAGATGGAAAGACACCCAAAAACACACACTCACTGCTTATAGATAGTGGCAGCCAGTCACCAGGTTCTCTGCCAAGTTTCTGGAGAAACGACTGGGGGTTCCAGTTAGTCACAAATGGAAAATCTTCACACCTTTTAGACTGCTTTTCATAGCTCCGTTGGTAAATGTGGGTGTGTGATGAGAAGAGAAGAAATTAGATTCATATCCATAGAGGAATGCTGTCGTTTATGTGTGATTCGGTGTAAGTCCTGTGTGTCCGCAGTTTTGCTGTCAGCTGGTCAAACAGACAGGTGTTGCTGTCAATGTCAAAGACTGTCTCTGAGGAGGAAAGCTGACTGGAGGATCCCAGACTTCATTAACAGGTCAATCATTTTCTCCCAGACAACATCTGGAGGACACCGAGGCCAGCCAGCTGCTGCCACACACGTCTTAATTTACCATGTCATGAATGACATCAAAACTAATGTGTCTACACTCTATTATCGTATCAGTCTATGCAGTTATTTGTGTGATGATGTGGGTTTTGACTGCATTTCATTAAACATTTTAAAATAAAGTCAGACAGCAGCTGTGTTTTTTATTTTATTACATTTTCTTTTTTTGCTTTTGTGTGCAATCTGATTTCTCCCCTTTTCCTTTATTTTAATATTATTTATGTAAAAATCTTTCCCTCAGTCTCTCGTTAATATCTTGTGTGTCTCGATTGCTTTGAAAGTCACGTTTGCAAAATTGATTTGATACCAAACAGGGAGAAACCAAATTATTGTCCCTCTGCGTAGCACTGCAGGCAGACCATCAGACATTGGCAAAGTGCTGGGCACCTACACACACACACTCTGTGTGCTGACATTGATACATTCCCAACATGGGATCACAGGAGTACGAGAGAGGAAATGAGGAAAACAACTCTATTTATTCTCAGCTGACCCAGCAACAGCCAGCGGCAGTCTCTTCACATCAGAGCGGAGCATGTTTTTGCCACTAAATGACGAGTGACAAGCGAGGCTGTCTCATCTTCTTGTTGTATATTTTACTTATTTATACAATCAACAATTCATATGATAATGTGTCAAATTCACACCACGTCTTTGTATTATTTGGCAGAATCCACACCAATAAGAATTTTGCAGAGTGAATGTTACGGCCGATTGTGCTGCAATAGATTAGATAGAATGATTGCTGCTACAACAGCTTCAACTCAAAGACTTTGGTGTGTTTGGGGTGTAAAAGTGAGTGGTAGACAATTAAACTTTTCATTTTTCCACTATTTTGTTCATTCTTCTTTGAAAACTATCTCAAGCTCAGTCATAATGGATGGACAGAAAAAAACAATTTTAAATGTTGCCACAAATCTTTAACTTTAGACAAACTGACGACTGGACTGGGAGCAGATCATTTCAACACCTGAATGCACTTCGAGCTCAACCAATTATTTGTAGTTCTGTTTGCATTTTCAGTGGATCAGCTGCTGGGGAAAAAAAAAAATTTGGCCCAGTCTCAACTCTCCTGCAGCCTCCAATGCTTTTCTCAAGGTATTAACCTGTATGCAGCTCAAATGATCAAAATTAACTCGGTGGAGCTGTGTTATTATATCTTTCTCTAACAGACTGAATCATTATACTTTGTCTGAAAACGAGGACCTAAGAAAATTGTTTTTCGTTCGACTACATCAGAGGAAGATGAGAAATAGATGAGGATTTGCGACATGTACTCTCTCTCTCCATAATTCACCAATGGCTGGTGAATCTAAAAGATTAGAAAACTCCATTACTCACACTTCTCCCCTAGAAAGAGTTGTGAATCTTTAATGACTCAAAGCTTGGGTGTACACAATACTGCTAAAGCACTTATGAATGTGCATGTGAAAGCTGAGTGAAACTGAGTAATAGATTTGAAGAATCATTATTTTTATGGACTTATGCATGGGACTGTTAATGTGAATGCTGGTTCCATCATTCATTCTGAATTAGCTATTCTTACGTCTTGACACTTTTTAACAAATGTATTATTCTTTATTACAAAAATGTTGAATTTCATTTCGTTCTTTTCTATCCCGATTCGTCGAATGTACAAGAAGATTTGATGTGGGGTATTATGCTGTTTGGGTTTAATTGTTAGAGTTCCCAGACAGAAGTGAGAGGACTTTAATGATGGATTCTAACATTTTGAATGATGGAAAAAAAGATAAAATCTTACAGGGACGAGGAAAAGAATGAGAAAAGACATTTAGAATTATCCCACTGTACATACAAAATAGGTGCAAATCTTTCCCATCAATTCAAGCAATTTTGAAACTCAAAACATGTAAATATATAACGTGTTAACAAAAGCAAAGGAAATTGGCACTCAGTAGTGCCAACCTAAATGCAACACAGTCTGAACAGTTTGTATCCAGAATGTGTGGAGTCTGAAGAAAGAAATTAGCTGCCCTTTTTCTCACCCAAAATATCTGCAACATATCTCCAAGTTTCCCTTTATAGTTTTTTTTTCTTTTTTCTGCAGGAGGTTAATAAAAAATGCATTTCAAGGTGACATGGCAATTTGATTTACAATGTTTGGCTGCCCCATTGGTTTAAACAAATTGCAAAGATAAAAAGTATGAACATGGTGGCTTTTTGGCATCCACTTCACCCATGTGGTTATTGTTTGTGGATGATGGAGCATTTTCTTTAACAATTGGACACATTACTTAACTAAACATTACGCAGATCTTAAATCAGACAGATTAAATGCCATCAAAGTTTTATATTTTATGTAATGTAAAAAGTGAAACACCTTTCCAACAACCAAAAGTTGGCTTAGTATACAAGCAGTCTTAAATTGATTTTGTCATTAAGGCTAAACATGTCTGAATACAAAAAAAACAGACAAAAAATGTACATACCAATGTTGTCATCTTATCATAAGAAAGTGTTGTTTTGACTTGTACTAGTTCTTATAGAACTTTAAATTTAGATCAGAATAAAACAAATAAATTATATTTGAACAAAAATATTTTGCTATAAATACCCTAATAGTATAAGTTAAACTTAAAAGTATTTGCACACCATTATATGATGATTTGAAATGCTGGGGTGATGGTTTCTTTATCCAATATAAGATGCGTGTCCATCATACAACCTTAACATTCTCATCTTTATTCTCTATTTCAATACATAAATGCACCTAAACTTTCTTAAACTCAGGACATGCCCTTTATTCAACAGACTTTACATTTTTGCTGTCATTGAACTATTTTCACGGCGATTACAAAGGAAAGGAAAGTTCGGCTTTTACTGAATGACTGTCATGATGATATATTTAGGAGTTCCCTTTGTACTGCAGATCCCATTACAAAACCGTCACATCCTGGTCGACACTGTGTTCTTTGTTTACAATGGACTGTGAAAGCAAAAAAAAAAAAAAAACCCAAACAAAGCAAGTGGAGGTGAACATATACAGTTCATTTCTTGACCTCAAAAAATAGAAAAACACACAAATCAATGCTGGGGAAACATTTCCAAGCGCCTCAGTGTGTGGCGCTGTGTTGCATAGAAACTGTGTTGTGCTGCTCTTGTTTGGCCGTGGAGGGGAGTTGACGCATCGTGGACGCATCGTGGGCAGCTCAACTCATTCTGAGCTGGGAATGTCTTGTGTTGTGGAAGGAGTGGAGAAGGGTTGGGCGGTTTTATATGGTCACAAAAAAATAAATAAATAAATAAATAAATAAATAAATAAATAAATAAATAAATAAATAAATAAATAAATGCCTTTAGTTAAAAGAAAATCGCAAAAACATTTTGATCCTGTTTTTTTTTCTTTTCTTTTTCCCTATTTTGTTTTATTATTTTTATTATTTTGATAAAATAGCCTTTTTTACGCGCTGTTTTGCTTCCAATTTGAAACCTCTCATTAGGACAAGTGACACATTTAAGCATGGATACATTTGTTTGAGAATAATAAACAGTTCGACTAGTTTACACTTGTGTGGTCAATAATCCAACCGTTGGACGTCCTGATGAAACAAAGAGGTTTATCCCACAGGCGCGGAAGCACCGCCCCCTGGCGACCACCCCGACAGCTATTGGTTGGCGCGCCACCCGACGCGTCGCTGATTGGCTCACTGCCTCGTCAATGAGAGTCTGTTGTTCACGCTGCTCGCCTGAGAGCAGGAGCGCCTGTGACAGTGGAGTGCATTGATTCATGCTGTTGTGGAGTCTCGTTTCTGCTTTTGGGAAAACAATTAATGCGACCAGACAAGAGCGCATGAAGGTACGTTCACACGGTGCGCCCGGCGTACACATGAATCTCTTATTTAATTCATACTTACAGCTTTTCTTACTGGCTCTAAGGCAAGCATGGATAATAGCATAATGTTAATTATTTTTCACGATGAGTGGCCTTTTGCAATTCAAGTAAACTTTCAAGCAATGCACTGTCTGGATTGCATGTTAAATAAATTGAGCTATAACAGGATTTCAGTTTTTTTTTTCCTTTTAATTGTAGCTATGGTAATAGTACTTTAACAATAATGATTCATTATTGATTTTGCCATTTTCACTGCAGGCTGTCGATGGATGATGGCTATTGTGTGATGTATTTGTGAGGCCTGTGTCACTTTGCAATTGAACTGAATAGCACAATTTGGGGAAAATAATGATAGGGGCCATGTGTGAGACAAAGGCTCATGTCGGCAGGTGGATCCACCGCCCCTGAAAGAGCACAGTGATCATGTGTGGAGCACAAAAACTCACTTAATCATTACCAGCATGGATCCTGTCCTTTCATTTAGAATGATTAGTCCCTGAGCTAACTTTACAGCTGGAAGAAGTAAATGTAGAAATGTATATCTACATTTCTACAGTTTCTTCTTTCTCACTCTGCCATTTTTTTTTCCACTAAGCCACAAGTTTCTTTGAATATTTCCGATTTTTAAATGTGGACCTCAATAATATCATTGCAGTTTCTAAGTAATCCATCAGCGTCTATGCAAACTGCAAAGCTCCCACTTAAGAGCATGTGGGCTTCAAAGTGGGTCTCAGCAATTTACTTCAGAGTATTCCCATGGTGTGGGTATCCCTGGAATGCTGGAATGATTTTCCATGGTAGTTGATTTATAAGCTGTGATATCAGGTATCATTTCAGGGAGTTAGGACCAACAGCCACAACGCACTCTTATGTTTTCACTGACTTAAAAGAATGCAATTGGGCAAGACTGGCCACCCTTGAGATATATAACAAGTTAGTAAATTAGTTCACACTCCTTTGCTTTGTTATGAATGTGCGGTGAGCCACAGAAAGCACATAGGAATTTCAAAGAGTCAGAGAATGTGCTGGGAATGCTTTAGTTAGAAAGTAAACTCTTGGAAACTGTATGAATGTGAGATGAAAAGGGAAGATTTGTTAAATAATTAGGCAGTTGGCTTCACAAATTTTTTATCTGTCTAAAAAAAAAAAGAAATTAGAAAAGATCTAGAGCATGGCAAAAGTATTTGGACTATTTTAACTTTTTATAGCCACAAACTGAAATGCTCTTTATTTGGTTTTTATGTGATTGACTAATAAAATGTAGCACATAATGTGTCATGGAAAGAAAAAAAGAACACATGGTTTTAAAGTTTTGTGAAAAGAAAATCTGGTTAAGTGTGATGGGCATTGCTATCCAGGGCCTCCAAGTCAACACTTTGTTGAAACCACATTTTGCTGCGTGTTATTGCAGCTGGAATTCTTTTGGTGTATGTCTCTAAAAGCTTTATTTGCAATGAAAGTTTCGCCAAGTGCTATTTACAAAAAAGCACCATACGAAGTTGTTTTTGTTTTTTTTCTTAAATTTGTCCTTCTGGTCCATAAATATTCCCATCAAGTCCAAACAGATTCAGCAGCTTCCCTTTATTGTTGTAGAAAAACATTTACACAGCGTGAAGTTGGCTGGTGTTTTCAGAGTTATGTGCAGTCCAGGTTTCCTGTTAATTCTGCTCTCATCTGACCCAAGTCCCTCGTTTTATGCGTTTCTTGTCTCTTTCCTACATGCCGTGAAGAGAGCTATAAGGCTTCTCATGGCTGTCTTTAAACACTTACTATCTTTTCTTTAACGGTCAGATTTGTAAAGCAGACAACTACCGTAAAAGTTGTCTTTTCGACATATTCTCCCACCTGAGCTATGAATCTCTCCGGCTCCTCTGGAGTTTAGCTGATTCTGTCAGTTATGCTTGTTTGACCTGTCAGCTTAGATGGATGATCATTTCTTAATAGGTTTGCAGTTAGGCCATTGTCTTTCTGTTTTCAAAGTTCTTTCTTGGGGTTTTGTTTCCATTGCAAAACCCTGATTTAAACCTGTACGTCATTTTGTTCCTGACCCGTCTCCTTTTTTCTTTGGTATTTTTTATGTTTGTTCTAAAAAAGTAATCTAATGGCCTTCACAGAACAGTTGTATAAATAGTGACAATTATTAGCATATGGTTGAAACCTATTAAGGGAATTCTGGGAACATTTGCTTGAACTGTTATTTTATTTAGGGGCATCCAAATAAACAAGACAGAACACATTTTCACTTTTTAGATTTTGTTTTTGTGTAAAGTTTTTTTAAACAACAAATCCTCTTCCTTTTACTTCACAACTATGTAGTGCTTTGTCTGTGTCCATCATGTAAAAATTCTGACAACATATATTTAATTAAGTAATTTCAATGTGAAAAACTTGAATACATTTCTGACACACAATGCGTCAGGCCTGTTTTTGATTTGACACCCACACATTAGACAGACTTTTGTGTAGGAATAATGTAAGTTCTGGGAATATGTAGTGCTCTTGCACCATGGTGTCTTATTAAAACACAGCGTGTGGGGGGGACGATAAGCTGATTATAATCAAGCATCGGCTATCTGACTTCACTGCTGACACATACCTTGTCAAACATTTAATTAACACTGAAGGGAGCAGCCACATTCCAGAAATTTGAGATGACTGTTTTGGGTTTCTTACACTTTTATAGATGAGGTCAGATGCGGGATGTGTGTGTCATGTCTGGCTTCTCTGACCACACGGGACATAGCGGATGAATCACACAATACCTCAGATAAAGAGCACGGTGATGCAGATTTAAGAAGATTAAAAAATAAAATAAAATATAATAAAAGGCACTGGAAATTATAAAACATTAGACTTAAGATCTAAAGCAAATACATATTTTTGCTCACATTTGAGACAGAATTAAACAGACAACTGTTCCCTGTCCCTGTGCAACAAAATGGGCAGATATGCTAATGGTTTCCTGTTTATGACCCTGAGCACAACACTGTCAGGCCACAGATGGGACCCCCGAGTCTCATTGTAAATCACTTCTGTACCACTCACGATCAAATACACAACAAGCAGGACAGTATGGGCCAGAAATCACAAATATATGTCTAAATCCCAGAGCTTTCCCTGATTTCTCGTTTTGAAGATATTTCTGAAATACTGTTATGTTTGATTGTATGTTTAATTCTTGGTCTTTCTCATCTCAGGTGGAGAAGATGAACGTGGAGGCTCTAAGCCGAGCAGAGCTGCTGACTCTCCTCAGTATCCTGGAGGGAGAACTGGAGGCCCAGGATGTAGTCATACACACCCTCAGAGTGAGTTTGAAACCACAGCATCTCCCCTGCGGACAGCACCACGCTTGTTCCACATTTAAAAGCCATAAGACCGTAAAATATGAACTGCCGTCCGAGCAGTTCATTAAATAAAACATCGATTAGTGCTAAAGGTTTCACTTTATTCTGCGTGAAAGAATGCGAACAAACTGGGAGGGGATGTGTAAACAGGAACCAGAGGAAACGGAGCTTGAGAGGACAATGGAGCGGGGGCCATTCTGGCTTCTAAGGCCTTTTAATCCAACAGAGCAGCAGTATTATTACTGGTCAGACCAGTCTTTGGAACGTCTTTTGATGTGGAATATGACCGTGTGGTTTACCAATCCGTCATCAGTTGTCGGGTCTTGAGAAATAAATTGTTTTCACATCAGTTTTACTCCATCAAATATAAACAGAAGGTTTTGTTCAGAGTTAAACACTTTGAACTCATTTTTTTATCTATATTTAGCTCAGTTGAACCACCACACAGCCCTCTGTAATACACAGCTTTTACTACAGGCTCATAAAAGCCAGTGATGCACTCGTTAAAACACTGTCAGCTGAGAAGGGAAGAGGTGGAAAGAGTGAACTGAGCAATTTCTCATCAGAATATCAATTTAGTCTTGTGGGTAAGTCGTGATATTTCCACACCCCAGTGTGTTTCTTAAAAAGAAGTGTCTTTGTTTTCATTCCTAGCTTGTGATTTAGCTCGTTGCTTTTAAAAAAATAAAAAATAAATAAATAAAACGCTGTGTTTGGCACCACCCATTGAATGGGAGTGTTATTGTCCTGTCAGCACTCGCAGTCAATAAATCTGTGCTATTTAAGGACATGTGTGGAGACTCCTAGCAGTCCCTAATGGACGGGTACAGAAAATAATACTTACGTCACACTAGCTCCATGTCAAGCAGACAGTAGAATGGACTGGGAGGTATAGATTAGGTTGTAGTTTTCTTACTTTGGTTGTGTTTTTTTTTTTTTTTGTTTTGTTTTGCAAATTCGGCATATTTATTGACAAACAAATTTGTCTAGTATGTAAGCAAAACAAGTGTTCTTTCAGCCAGCTGACCAGCAGTTAAGTGCAGCAGATGAGGGAAAGATGATACTCTATGCTACCAAACTGATGGAGAAATCTCCGGTCACAGGCACGCATGGTGTCTCATTAATCAGAACTTTATGAACCATCAAAGATGTTTCACAGAAAAGTTTGTGATTTTGAAACTTTGCAAAATCTTGATAGCAGTAAACCGGCCCATACATGTGGCATGTTGACTCAATGCCATGCTTCAGACCTTACAATAGTCGTCTTGTCTGCATCCAGCTGAGCTTGGAACGCGTAGCACAGGCTTTGAATGTGACGAAAGAAGGAACATGCATGGTGCGCTTCCTTTGTGGGTAGAACTGACCCAGTCAGCATGTGAACGCTGTCAATTTGGACAGCTTAACTCGCCAAAGCACACATTACTCGGATGTAACTCAGCAACAATCTCTGTGGCATCCGCTGATAAAGGACTGTCTCTCCAGTTGTTCCTAAACCCCTCATTCAGTTCTCTGCAGCTCTTTCACTCAAGCTCAAGTGAAAGAGCGCAGCTTTCCCCCAGGAACAATGCTTGTCAGTGTACGTGTCTGGTCCAATTAGCTTTCTCCATGCTGCCGGCCACTTTTCACACTCACGACTAACAGCAGCTGCACTGAGCATGAGGGAAACTGTTAAGGAAATAAATACTTCACTTTCGATCTAAAGTTATGACAATTGAAGTTGAAAGAGAGACAATATCTATCATGACTCCCTATATAGGCCTTTATGGAGTAAATTATCTAGAAGGCTTTGCAGCCACTAGTATGAAAGAACCTCATTTCAATGGAATGGCAAAAATTCACACCAACAAAACCCACTGAAATATGAAGCATGCTGTGTTTGATAGACTCACTCAGTGATACCCCTAGGACAACTGCACTGTAAAGCTGCTTTCATGTTCTCCTCCCTCCCTCACATTCAAACACAGCCACACTGTGGGGGACACTTTTCATGTTTAACCACAACCTCTCTGTTGACTGTTTACTGATCAGAGGATGAACTGTGTCGGAGGCTCAAATGACTGACTTCCCTTGTTCCCGCTGAGGCCCTGAGCAGCAAATTGCTGCCTGGTCATAGCTGGGGTAGTTAGTGTATAGGAAATCTCCAGGGTGAGTCGGGAAGTAAATAAATCCCATCTATAATCACCAATTAGGTGTTTGTGATGTTTATTTATATTTTGAATGTTTTGCTGCAAGCATTAGCTGTAATGTTTGTCTTGAAGCAGTTCTTGACTACTTATCTTATGTGTTCAATATAATTATGTACTGTACCTGTGCAATACACAGACCCTCTTTGGTATACATATGTATTAGATTGTAGGTCTTCCATCACACAAAATACCGCCCCCATCATCCCCCCCCCCCACCCAAAAAAAAAAAAAAAAAGGCAGTAGAGCAGTCTTCATATGTAAGCTAGATGTCATCACCTTTGGGACTTGTCTCTACAGATTCTCGATTGTACCTTTTCCAGTTCTCATTGCTGAGGAAGCGGAGTAGCAGTTTTTCTAGAGGGAAAATTCCTGCGTACTTAGACCAGGCAACTTCTACATTCCAAGAGGTGTGGCGTATCTTTCAAGCTGACAATCGTCCTTATCTGTAGAGATCTCGAGCTATTATTATCATAGTTCAAATCCAGTACAGACAGATTATCTGCAGCTGAAAAGAAATGCAAGTTTACAGGCCAAATAACACATGGTTAGAGGTTTGTTTACATTCATAATTACCCTGTGTGAACTAATTTGGAGGGGGAGAGAGATAATGAGTTATACGAGCTATTGTCTTTTTTTGTGGCGGATTGAAAATCTAACATAAACCTTGAAGACAGTAAAATAAAAATATTTTTGCAGGATTTCTCAAATTCACAGGGTCGAAATTATACATGCATCTTTAAGGTTTTTTGGATAAATTTGGTTAAATCTTTTAAATCACTGTGTCCAACTCTCCTTGATAAGCATGGTGATGGTGTTATTATTCTGTGGGTCTGTTCTACTGCAGATATTACTGATGCATAGATGAAATAAAAGAAAAAGACCACCAGGGAATTGGTGCTAAACAATTAGCTTTGAGTAGCTTTGAGTTGAATATAGCAGGCTAGATTTAGGTTTCTGTTTTGGCTCTCTCAAAGCCTTACCTCAAACAGAAAGCATCATAACTTGAGACATTTGGGGGGTTTTTTTTAGAGAAAATTCACAATATAAAAGCATTTGAAATTGTGTTGTATATTAGCCCACCACACACATAACAGTTCAAATAAATAATTTAAAACCCCAAGTTAGTATTTTGACAATAAGTTCATGCAAGCTTCTTACTCAATTTATCCCTGCACATTGGCTCTTCAGATACACACCTATAGATTTGAGGTGTGTTGCTGTTTGACAGCTTTGTTTTGTTTGGCTAAGAAACACGTTTTGTGTGGTCGAACTGTTGCTTTCGTTCTCAGCCCTTTTTTTTTTTTTGTTGCTGTTTTTCCACATGATGTCACATCCTGTAGTCCTAAAATGTTTTGTCTATTTTTGCAGGCTGACATGTTTTCCTGACTCCATAAACAATAGAGCCTGGCAGTAGTGGGCTGTGCAGATAAGAGTGTGTACACTAAAGCTGCTCGAGAGGCAAAGCCCAATTTGGACATGTTTAAAAAGAAAACTGGAGCAGAAAGTATCAATAAGGTTCCCTATTGAAGCTTTGAAATCATGTATATTATGTTATGTTATGCTACGCCTGACCTGGTGGCACCAATGCATATTATACTGCAGTAACTGTTCACCAATTAGAGCAACATAATCTTAGTATGTGCTCATTTGTCCCTATTTAAATGTCCTTCTAACACTGCCATTCACAGCAAATATATAAACAGCTAAATTTTCCTGAAGGCCAACCCAGGCAACAGGTCAATGAATTGCCACATAGTTTAATATTTGACTCCTTCTGAAGATAAACCAAAGTACTTCCTTGCTCCACCCAGTGACACTACATGTTATACCCAAAGCAAAGTGTGTGCAAAGGCTGACAACAAGCTGCTTCTCTGTTTCGTCAGAAACTGTGGTTTTGAGGCAGTTAAACATCACTCTGAGATGTTTGTTTTGGTGCTTTGCGTTTATCTAAATGCCATCTGTGGTTAATGTGTGGGTGGCAGGTGCGGGGGATACGCTTTGCGTTGTAAGCACACAGCTAATTACGCTTAATAAAGGAGAGGTCTACAATCTCAGCTCTGTCTTTCTGCAGTTCATCCAGTTTTTATTTAGAGACTTTAATCCTGTTCCTGGGCCAAGTATTGTCTGGAAGTGGAACACTTGCCCAGACAAGTTCATTTTTCTGCCATTAGTTCTCAATCTCAAAGGAGTTGGAGCACTTAAGACTGAGCTTAATGGACATTTAAAAATGAAACTACAGGGCAATTTATATAATTTTACATTTTTAGCTATAAACGAAAGTACTAGTTATTTTTTCTAGGTTTCCTTTCATCCAGCTAAACAGGGAATTTTAGTTTCAGCAGCTAATGTAGCTCTTCACTTTTAAGGTGGTAATTTAGTCATCCTCCTTTGATAACTTTTACTTTTTCACAATAGCAGTGGTAAATAATTTTTTTTTTTGAGAAAACGCTTAGACTTTGGAATTAGACTCCTTTATTGTCCACTAAACTTACATAAAATGGTAATTTTGCTTTGATAATGGCACAAAGACACACAACACAAACACAAATCACAGTCGACACAAAAGCAAAAAAAATAATAAATGTATGTATAAATAATAAAACAATATCTGTGAAATAAAATCAAGTCATGTTACTCTACCCATGTCATTCAGTTAAATATTAAAAAAACCATTTAAAATTTACCATACTACTGCTAAGAAGAGCACACAGATCTTCTGCACCAACCATATCAACCATAACAGTTATATAAGCGCTGGAATAATTATGATTGAATTTCAGGACATCAATGACTAAAGTTTTAGAAAATGTCTAAACCTAATATTGTCACAGTTTCAAAAGTTCTTTGCAAAATTATATTTTAAAACAGATATGTGCAGGTTACTGTGGTGTATATCAGACGAATGGCTTGTAATGATGTCGGCATGAATTGTCAGTTTTAACAGACTCAGAATTTCCAAAATGTCAAATTTTAATGTTTCTGCATCCAAATGGGAAAATGTTTTTTTTATTAATTTAAATGAATCTTTTCATTTATATGTTTTGTTTCCATTTAATATAGATGATTGAACCTGCATGCTAAAACATGCTTGAAATGTACAATACCAGTGTCTGCAAAATCATAATTACTGTGGATGCAATGCTTCATAGCATGTCATCCCAATAACCTGGGGATGATAAGGCATTCACAGCTCAGATGGAAGAATCAGTCTGCAGATGTATGTCATGCACTATCAGTATGGTCTAGAAAGCAGTGTGTGGCGCAGCCCAAATGTGACTTGCACAGGGAATAATGACTAAATATGGCGGCAACGTCACGTTTGGTGGATGTTTTTTTTTATTATTTATTTATTGATTAATTTATTTAACAGGGTCAAATAACTGTTTCAAAGTTTATGTGAAGACAGGCAGAACTAAATGCAAGAACGTCATGGAAGAAAACATATTCGGAGCTGCAGTAGGCTTGAGGCTGGTTTGCCTGTCAGCATCACAATATAAAACCAAACAACCACACCTAGAAAAAGATCAGATTAGATCACTGAGTATTTATCCGCTAGGATGGCGCAATCAATATCCACACCTAAATATAATGTGAGGTGAGGTTTAAAGTGTTGCTTTGCAACCTGACTGAACTGGAATTGTTTAATAAGAGATAGCCACAAGGATGTGAATTTGTGATCCTTTGAAGGAGGTTCACAATACTTATGCACACCGCACTTTTCAGATTTGTATTTGTAATGAGAAGCAATTAATTAAAACAATTCAATTTTGCTTTCCTTTGAATGCTATGTGTCACTTTGTGTCAGTCTGTCACATTAAGTTCCTATGAAAGACATTGATATTTGTGGTTGCAATGTGACAAAATCTGATAAGTTCATGAGGTACAGACACTTCTGCAAGCCATGGGAGGTGTGTGAATGTCCTTTGCTCTTTGCCAGCGATAGTTGCTGGGAGTCAGAATGAGAACTTGAGACTTGTAATTGGAGAAATGCAACTCGTACATTTCGCTGCTGGGATTTTTGTTCACGTTCACTGCTGACTTCATTATCTGACAGTCATTTCAGAGACTTACTGGGGGAACAGGACTCTGTGGCTCAGTTCAGCTTACAGAGGCCTGTTCCCCCTGAGGCTGTAGGTGAATGACAGAGTTTCCAGGTGAAAAAAATCTTTTTTTTTTTTTCAAATTCACACCTCTTGCTGCAGGAATCCAATAGAAGGTGACACGCTCAGGTACATTTATTAAAATTCAACAGTATCCCGAATACAAAAAACACCTGGAAATTATTCACAAATAATGTGTACTTTCCCACGACTTGCTATAAGGAGCATTTGTCATCAGCTGCCGGCCAGGGATAAGACTTTGACAGCCGACAGGGTTTGCCTGTTGTGCCCTGTCATAAAGGAAAGCACACCCTATCATTATCATCAGACCTATACTGACAAAAAAAGCCTCATGTAGGACTGAGACTCTGCACACACTTGAAGTGCAGTGTTTAATGGTCTATTTAAAGCCTGTAGCGTAAGGGCAACCATAGAAGAGCACAGTTTTGTCTTTTTGCATGTCTACTTCAAAGTAAAATGCACATAAACATGCTGGCTTACTAACAAATGAATTAACAGTTTTCTTGCAAAAGTATAAACAATACAAGAGTTGTGGATCGTGCTTTGAAGAGCACTGTATCAGACAAAGCATAATACTGTAAAAAAAAAAACTGAAAGAGTGCAAGTTCTGTTAAGTTTTTTTGGCATAGAGCCATAGTCTTGGTTCAAACTGAGAACAAGCCACAAACACACCATTCTCGCTCCGAGCCCTCAGGGAGTAAATGTGTGTTCAAACGGGCCAATTTCTGGAGGCACACGGGAAAAGAAGCTGACAAAAACCTGAGAAATGAGGAGGTCTGACTCAAGAACGGAGCGACATTTAGTGGCACAGTGTAAGCTCGTGGACTAGAGATTCTGCTGAGGACTGCATAAGGAGAAAATTATAGGTGTCCTGATGTCAAACGGTGTGAACTCTTCCGCCCGTGCTTTAATCACCGAGACACTAAACTGACCCTGAATGCCCCAAGAACTCGAACCAACAAACTGTTGTGAAGCTAATGAGACCCCCTGATGACACTGTGACCAGGGTGGAGGTCAATGAGGCCCCATACTGTTTCACTTAAAACAGCTTAACATATGCGTTCTAAAGTTTAGTTTCCTATAAGACTTCTTTTAGCCATAGTTTAGTGTTTGCCTTTAAACAACTGCATTTTTGGTTTGATATATATATATATATATATATATATATATATATATATATATATATATATATATATATATATATATTAGAAGCAAGTGATGCTTGTGAGTAAGGAAGATGTTTAATGTCTCAATTCTTCACCCCTGCATCTCCAGGGAGGAGTTAACATCTGCCCCATGTGGGGGTTGGATAGCAGTGTCTCATCTCTTTGTGTTTAGGTTGATAGGAACGGCCATCTGCTTGCTCTCATGCTGATGATAACAGCACCCGGCACAGACTTCCTGAACACATATGAACACATACGAGCACACACATGCCGGCACATCTTTTTTTCTGAGCCTGTGTCCTCCGAAAATGAAATGTAAACAACATTTTAGGGAACCTGTGCACCGACAGTGCACAGGCTTTTCAGTGAAATAGATCAAACTATTAGATATAGTTTGTCACCTATATCGCAACCTGCCGTTGCTAGTTTTTCTAATTATTTTCGGTAACTGTAAACATTATTTTTAACAAGATACTCTCACAAAGACAAATTACTATGGTAATTCTATTTATCTTGATTTTTCCTCATTTTTCCTCATTTGCATGTTCTTATTTAAATCAGATGTGTTTATGTCTGATTTAAATAAACGAAACGTCTCTGATATACCTGACTGCCTGGATTTTAGAAAAAACCCTCCCAAAAAAACAAAAAACTTTGCAACAATAAGCCACATGGTGGCAGCTTGTGAAGTCTACCAGATGTAACTGAAAAGCTTCAGAAAGTTAAAATCCAACAAGTCTCCACTTAGCATTGTGTCCTGTTCCTCTTGTGATGTCATCAGCCAAAGCACAAGTGGGAATTAACAATTTGTTCCTATGCTTTTTAAAAACGTAGTCTCTTTTTGCCTCTGTTTTTATTATAATTCTATATTTCTTCATGAGAAGAAAACCTTTCTCTTGTTACATTTTTAAAAATAAACATGCTTAGTCTCTCACACAGTTAAAGGTGAGCCTCCTCCTCCTCAGATACTTAACAGAAGTCCCTAATTCTACATATTTGTTGTGTGTCCTCAGGCTCAGCACCGAGATGAGTTTGTCCAGGACCGCTATGGGCAGTATGACCTCAGCGATCCATTCCTGGCCCTTCAGCGGGACGAAGAAGCCGCAGAGCGCCAGTCCGCAATCAGGCAACCCCAAGCACATCTGCACGGCCGGGCGGTGGGCCCAAACCCTCTGGCTGTGTTGAAACTGGTCATGACTCACTGTAAGAGGATGCAGGAGAGGATGATGGGACAGTTGGCTGCTGCCGAGAGCAGACACAGGAGGGTAAATAGCAAACGATGCCCATGTGCAGCCAGTAGTTCATCTTTCAGGTTTGTGATTTGAGGTCGCAACGCGGCCAAAGTCACATAAGGCAGGAAATTTGTTCACTGAATTTATTGTGAGAATATGTATCTAGTGGTCAGCTTCATGGCTTTGGGGAGGTTTTGTCTTTATTTTGACTGCAAATCTGATTTTTGTTGGAGTTATATAAACGTGTAGATGGACTAAATCAGTTTGAGAAAGAATATGATACAAACCAAGCTTGATAGTGATTAAGTATCCGGAAAATTAGTTACCGTTATTTTTTTTTTTGTTTACAACTAGGTTATTGCTCCCTGACTTTACCTGTGAATTACTTAACGAGAATTACATCGCTTTCATGCTCTTCACTAAACCTGTCTACACATTAGCTGCTAATGTGATCGCTTGTCTGTGTCATCTTGTCATCTTGTTCAGATGATCACCGCTCTGGAGGAGGAGAAACAGCGGTATGTCCAGGAATCTGCTCGGCGTGCCGACTATGTCTTTGTTCTCGAGACAGAAAGAGATAAGCTGCTGCAACAGGTGTGTGTGTGTGTGACATGTCAAGCTTACAGAAAACGGTTACTATGTGAGTGCCTTGTACTGTAAAAACATCTTAACTTTTCAGATTTTGTCACTTTGAAACTACAAAATGAAATGGGCTTTTTTTCAGCTTTTTATAAGAAACAGTAGCACAAAGTGGTTCGCAACTGTGGAAGTGGAAGGATAATGATACACTGTTAAAATGCATTTGTACTGAAGCCTTTTACTCTGATTGCCTTTAGAAGTGACTTTGTTCGTAAATTTTATCCATCGGCATCTAATATTAGCTCGTATTAGCTAAATACAGTTGCTCTGTGAAGGTCGAGTTGAAGCGTTGTGAGGAAACAGCCTCTGTCAGGGAGAGAGTAATGGAGACGTTTAAAGCGGAATGAGGTTTAAAACAAAATAGCATCTCACTTACAGTAGCTCTGTTCAACTAAGTATCAAGAAACCAAGAAAGACTGAACTAAAACATTTGAAATGAAGGCAGCAAAAAAAGACAAAACGTCATTAGTGGATTTGTACAAATGAACTGATCACTGTTGTTCAGAACATGATTTAATAACTAAAAAAACTCTTTTAGCATCTAAACATTCTGTGGAGCTCCACTCTTAATCAGTACCAAGTCTATCCCTAGAATCCCTTGTCATAACTAAGTTAAATCACAAAACGGAATTCAAAAATAAACACAAAAAAGTATTTTGTGCACATTTTAGACACTTAATGATGAGACCGTTGATGATTTTCCTTTGACCCTGTTTTAGATTGTCTCTGGGGTCTGCAACCTTCAGTTCTGGAGCCACAAATGGCTCTTTGGGCCTTTCACAGCTTCCAGCTAAAAAGTAATAAACAGACAACCAATTTGTTTAAACTGAGTATTATAACAAATGGAGGTTTTAAAAGCTTTCGTAAAAGTGAATTTTCACAACAGATTGGTGATTTAGATTTATTTATTTTTGTTATTTAGTTGAAAACTTTGTGCCATTTTACATCATTTTGAAAAAAAAATAAATAAATGAAAGAAAACAGATCAAACCTATTTTTTACACAAGTTTTTTGTTGTTGTTGATAAATTTATAGTAGACATTTTATCAAAAATTAGAAGTTATCGCTTTTTCAAATGGCATGTAGGATGTGTGGCTCTAGATGATGTATATTTGGATAGACAGAGGGCAGAAATGGCTGCTTTGATTTTAATTGTGGTAGACCCCTGGATTTTCTCATAAAGCCTCCACAAAATTCTTTGAAGTTTGCGGCCTAGTAATGTGACAAACTATGAAAAAGCTTAAGGGGGTGCGAGCACTTGTGTAATACGCTGTAGATGGGAACATCTGTTGAAGACAATTCTGTTTCTGTCTCACGTGACTGTCTGCACTGCATGCTTTCTTTTTAAAAAATATTCTTGCTGCGATCAAAAACAAAGTGAGCAGAGATGCGTCAGCGGTAGTTCCTCTGTGTAACCTAGAAGGGTGGAGAGGGCTTGACCTTTATCAAATTTACACACGCAGAGAGGCGCTCTTACTGTAAGCACAAGCCCATAACTGTTCCATGGGAAACAGATGAGGAAGAGGCCATTGTTCAGCAGCCATGGGGCTTGATGGCCTCAGGAAACCTGATAATGGATGTTCACGTCTAATGCAAGGTCAGCTGGCAAACGCACGCTGTGAGCGCACAATTACACAGGGGCCCTTATGTAACACAGGGTCCCCTCAGCGACTTCCTCAGGCTCTCTTGGTGTTTTTTTTTCCTTTCAAACACATGGTTGTATTTCAGCACCTCCTATTTCCTTCTAATACTCAACAAAGGTTCGAACCGGCCCATTCGCCCTCTGATGACCTAAAACAACTGGACTGTCCATGAAAATGCCATGCAAGCAGATCATTCTTTTACAAAATGAAACATGAACAATGACTTCCTTTCTGTGCCTCTTCGGACACTTTGATGACCCATATTTCATGTTTTTTTTAAATTATTTTTTATTATCCTACCTCTTTATGATTCAGGTGTGGTTTGTTTATCAAAAGCATATTTAAAGAGGCCCAGGAAAGATTAGATAGAAGTCGTCCTCGAATTCCCACCAGAAATGTAAAACTTTGTAAATGTAAAATTACAGATTTAGATTATGTGTTTAGTAAAGTAAATTGAACTTTTAAATAGTGTCTAATCAGCGTCAGTTAGGCTATTTGATGTTACATGAATGGCAGTACATAAACAGTATGAATACTAAATACAGCAATACATTTATTGTACAGCACATAGAGTACGGATAAAATTAAAGATAATTTGGATTTGAAAATGTTATGTGCAAAAAATAAATAGAAATACAATGAAAAGAATAAAAAAGCTTTTATTCAAGCAGCACACTGTTGCCTCCTTGTGGCCAAAAGCGGAAGATCTGCTCGCCTTCACATTTCTGTTTCTCTTTTCCAGCTGGAGGTGGAGCATGCAACGGTGCAGAGGTTGGAGAAGGAACAGGCACAAGTGGTGAGCAAGGTGGAGGAGTCGCTGTCCCAGGAGCAGCAGCTCTCCTCCAGTCTGACGCTGGAGCTCCAAAAGGCCAGCAGCCAAGCTCAGGAGGAGGCACAGAAGGTCTCTCAACTCCACATGCTGCTGCAGGAAGAGACCCGCGCCCTCGAGAAGCTCCAGCAGGTTCTCGAGTACGAGAAGAACCGGGTGGCCCAGCTGGAGGTCAAGTCGGAGAGGCAAATGGCTGAGTTTGATACTGAAAGAGAGCAGCTGAAAGTCAGACTAGAGGCAGAGGAGGAAAAGGGCAGAGAGCTTGAAAAACAAGTGAAAGAACTTAGAAAAAGGTTGGCTGAGCCTCAGGAAAGTAAAACAGAGGTAAAAGAGGCTGCTACAGAGGTGAAGGAGTCACAGGGCAAGATGGTGTCCAGTTCTGTTCAGACTGAGCTGGATGGAAAGATTACTTCAAAATCCTCTACTGTGTCAAAGGTCAATGGCCTTCAGTCTCCTAAAGAGATAGAACAATTAGCACATGAAGTGAAAGGAGCAGAAAATGGAGTGGATAATGGAGGTGGAACCCTTCTCCATTCCCCAATCCACCCTTTTCCTCATCCTCACTCTCCCTCCAGCACGGCTTCCTCTTCCCTCTCCTCCTCCCCCGTTTCCTCTCCAGTTCTAGCAAAGCGTCTGGGCAGCCCGGGCTTCCTTCAGTCCTACCAGGCTGGAGTCAATCAGAGATTTCAGGCCGCCAGACACAAGTTCCAGAGTCAGGCCGAGCTCGATCATCAGCAGCAGCAGCACGGTGGGCCTCTTTCCCCCAGAGACCTCTCTCCAACCACTGCATCCACCCCTCCTCCGCCAGAGCACAGCCCGGCGAAGCAGCTGGCCCGTAGCACAGTCACTCAGGTGCTGTCCCGCTTCACCAGCCAGCAGGCCGGAGTAAAGTCCGCGCCAATTAGCAACTCACCATTTGGCACAGACTACCGCAATCTGGCCGCATCTCCTACAGGGGGGAGGTCGCCTTCTTCAGGGCCATTATCTCCGTGCTTTCGCTCTCCTCTCACACCTCGTTCAGAGAAGACCCATCCTCCTCCAATTCCGCCTAAAAGGCCTGGCATGAGTCCAACTCCGGGTTCCCCAAATCACTCTGCTCGGACCAGCCTCTTCCCAGAGCTCACGGGGAACTGTGGGCACAGCAGCAATGGGCAGGAGGGAGCCAAGGAGTCAGACCTGGTCTTATCCTAGTGCCTAAAGTCCAGACCGAGCAAGCTAATTGTTGAAGAAATCTGCTACTTCAGTTTCTGATGTTAATTAAGTTTAAGACATTTGATATTAGCATTGAAAATATAAATGCCTTGTAAAAAATGTTCATACCCTTTAAACATTTTTCACATTGTGCTTCATTATAGCTTCAACCATCAATGTGTTGTAGGTTGTAGCCATAATGCGAGATAGGCTAGTGCAAAGTAGCATTAGTGTACTAATCCTCCGAGTAAATAGTTTTCACAGACACCATTTTCTGAACTGTCTGCTGTGTTCCTTGGTTTTGGTGATGCTGTTTGTTCAGTAATATTCGATAAATATTTGGGTCTAATTTATTACCCAGAGGAATTCAGTTTACTAATCAGCAGAATTAAGACAAATGGTCGCATTAATTTTATTTAGGAGTATTACAGTAAAAAGGGGTGAATGCATTATAAAACCCACACATTTTTAGTTTTATTTTTTGTAAAAAATAAAGTGTGAACTATGTGGTGTTTTGTCTGCTAAACAATAATGCACTACTTTGCATTGGTATATCACTTGAAATCTCAATACAGTACATTGAGATTTGTGGTTATAAGGTGGAAAATATGAAAAAGTTTGAAGTATGAATGTATTTTCAAGGTGGTGTATACTGGATGCATGGTTTGTTGTATTCCTACCTCAAAGGCACAACATGAGAAACAATTGGTAAAAATTACTTAAAAGAGATTGCAAATTCCTTAATTGGATTTAGTTATTTTTTTATATTGCTATCATTATGTAGTTACCCTAAATGTCAAATTTCTGAATTTTAACTATGAGTTAGAGCATCAACCGTCAGTAAAACCAAGCTTAAATTCTGACAAATAAAACAGAATGGAGTTGTGCTGAGCTTGTGATCTCTTTGTTTTCACTTATGAATTTACTCGCCAAACAACTTTGAGAAATCCTCTTTATTTTGGTTTTGCTTCTGCATCGACTCTTCAGACGTTTGGCTAGCAGAGCATAGCAAGCATGTAGCTTTTGCAATTTTACAAAGACAAAAAAGGTTTTTAATGCTTTTATTGTGAGTCCCTATGCAAATTTTATGGAGATGGACGACATCTGTTTTTTGTTTTTTTTTAATTGTAAATATGTCAAGAAACCTTTTCCTATGAATGAACATTTGATGCATGGATTGTTTGTTTTTACTTGTCATGAAAACACTGAGACTTGTCTTGAAAAAGGGAGAGCACATTTTGCACTGCATCGACATCGACACATTTTTTATGAACACGGCATATCCAGGGAACGTCGAATTCTGCTCTACACAAGCTGAAAATGTTGCTTCATTATGCCTCACAGTAAATATTTTAATGTTCATACTTTGAAACACAATTGTGACAATTTATACTGCATATATGTGTGTCAATTATATATAGCACTGTGTCTTTTAGAAGAACTACACACAAGATTATTTTATTGGTCTACCACTTTATTTTTTAACATGTTTTTATTTTAAAAACAGTGATCAACGGGTTCTGTTCTTTTATCATTAGTAAATGCTCATATCATTAACACTCTGAAGTATTCAGTGCTTCAAATAAATTGTCCATTCCTTCAAGTGATGAATCATCTGTCTTTCTTACAGTCTGAACTAATAAAACAATGTCTCCTGATGGAAACACTTTTGCCTTTTCACCTTTTCAGATTTTCTATTTGATTCGTTTTAAATCGCTTTTTAACAAAGATAAAATATACTTTGGGCAAACTTCTATGGGCAAGAGCCTCTCATGGCATCACTAAAGATGACTACATATAGAAGCAGTTCATGAAGACGACCATTACAGAGTGGAATCACCAGATTTCATTATTAAATGTGATGTTTATCCAGGTTCTGCTCACACTTGCAAAATACCTCGAGCTGGAACAAACATTTGTCTGTCATTTAGGGCTTTTTCTCACAATGTTTGTTTTCTTTAGTCCGAATCAGTTGATGAGTTTGCTAACTAACAAGTTTTTTTGATTGTTCAGTTGGCTCTGAGAACCTCAAAGAGTAGAAATTAATATCTTCAGCATGTAAAGTTTTTACAGGTCTTCAGAGGAAAGCTGGTTTCATACTAGCAAAGGTATTCTCGGAACTAAACTCTCGTTTGTTTGCTTTCTTTCAGAGTTGTGTATCATTTTCCTTTTCAGGTTTCAGCTCATTTCACCAGTGGTATAAATGCACCAAAACCAATCAGATGGAAAAAAAATGATGACTGTTGACAATCATTCTCACTGTTTGCTTCAGCTTTGCCGTTCTTGGTGTCATCCGTCATGGTCATGAAACTCCTTCTCAGACACAAGGCTGAACCAGTTTTAACTCAGTCATATTGCTCAATAACTAGCATCTATAGAGGCTTTAGCTCTTGTTTCTGCTGATACCAGAAACAAGAAAAACAAACCAAAAACACAGAAATAAGAATTAATTGTTTATATTCAAAGTGCTTTTTAAAATCTGTATTTTTACTCATCTAGTGAAAAGATACTTTATTACCAATTGTGTTTATATTTGTTTACATTTGTCAAAGAAAGAAGTAAATAAATGGATTGTAAGTCAGTTTATTTGAAGAGGATGGGGCAGTACAGTCTTTAACTTTGTAACTGATCGGCATACAGTTGTATTATACTGTATATTGAGGTTTGAACACAGCACATAGCATAGCTAACAAGTCACTGATCAGTTGTCAGCCAACTCATAAGAAATGTATAACAGAATGATGTTGCCTGGTAGGAGTCACGCTACATTTACAGTATATCATCTTGCCATATGGTGACTGCTTTGCATTCACTTGGCATTAACATATACACAGTCAGAACTATTATGAGTGCAATGTACTAAGACTCCAGCAAAAAGACAGCATATAAAATCAGAAATTTTACACACAGGAGTAGGAAGATGGGAGTTCTTTACCATAGGAAAGAGATTTTGGCAAATAAATTTTGGTTAATATGAAGATGCTTTCCTTCATTAAAAAAAGGAAAACCAGTTACAGCAAAGTTGATTCCAAAAAGAGAGAAGATGGATGTTTAGTGGATGCAGCAGAGCAGAGGTGGCTTTATCTTATTTCAGTCGTCACAATTTGCATGAACGAAGAGATAATGCATTAGTGGAGTTCAACAGAGAAAACAAGTGAACATTCCCTCAAACCTGACAGAAAAACTTAAAGTTGTCGGAGCACTTGTACAACAGGGCTGTGTCAGGCTTTGTGCCGTTTTTAAATGCTATGAATTTCAATTGGATTATGTATTACAGAGAAGCAATACGATAACCCTCTTTCTGCTCAACGTTTTTGTTGAAATGGAACCTAAGAATTTCCTTTCCTGACTGTGTAACAAATCCACTAGTGAAGTTGATTTTCAGTCCAATCATGCAAGGTAAACAATGACAAGAAAAACAACCTTTAAGAAAATTTACGTTCTACGAAAGTCAAACCCTGATATGAGATTGTGTGCTTGAATTTTGTTAGCAGCTGCTTTGTGCCCTGTGTGCAGAGAGCATTAACTCTGAACAAAGCTCGGGATTAGTTTCACAAAGACGAATATCAGAATTTTGTAACCTGAAGATATGGAGTAAACAGAGAACAGTTTTATTTTATGAAGCGGTCCTGAGCACAGCCCTGCACTGTCCGAACGCAGATTAAAAGAAAAAGTAACACCGTTCTCCAAACCATGATCATTATTGTTATTTTTGTAATACCTACACCTTCCTTACAGCAGACATATTTGTGCCCAACTGTCTGCAAACATTGAGTTACATTTTTATTTTACTTTCTTTCCCCGCATTAATATAGTTATGCTTTGGTTAGTCCTTGCGCATATATAGATGGGTTGTGGGCCCACAGGAGTGTGCATCATCCTGGTCATTACCTGACCCTCTTCTAGACATTCTGCATTTCCTTGCCAATCTTGTAGCTTAAGATCTTATTCCAGTCGATCTTGGTGCGCGTGACGGGCAGCTGGCGACGCAGGGCCTTGAATGTCGTGTCAGACATGGTCTGGTAGTTTTCAATGATTGCAGTCTGAGGGCAACAAAACAAGGTACCAATATTAAAATGTTTTTTTACGAACGATCGCAAAGTGTGTAGGGTCAGGTATATAAAAATATCAAATACATACCTGGTATTCGTTTTCTGCAGTCCTAATTATGTCAATAAATTCCTTTGCAGTTTGGCTTTCACTCTGCAAGATAAAACATAAAATCATCCTGTTGTATTCTAATACTGCAGCTGAGTCAGTAATCTTAAACTGTTTGCCGATTATAAATGAGATCATACAGAACTGTCACTTACAGTCACAGGTACTGAATTTTCTACCTCCTTATGGCTGACCAACTGGACGTTCCCATCTTCATAATAATGCACCTGAACAAAGACATAATGCTTTATTAGGCCGGTGTTTAGGATGTTTAAATACTAGTCCATAACCTCGACAAAACTCCCAATAAAGGTCCCATATCTTTGAAACACATCAACAACATTATCACTGAAATATAAGGCATTTTACTAATGAAAGAAAAATAAACCTTTTGTGGTTTACACAACTTTTACGAAACTTTTCTGAAGTACTTCCCAGATCATGAGAAATGGTGAGAGTAACTCTATGTCACACAGGTTTACACAGTTGGTTGGCACTCTGTCACTGAACTGCTTCATTCTAAGGTTTCCAAGGAGAACTACAGGAAAAACCTGCCTTCAAAAAGAAATCCATGGAATTACAATGGTTGAACCTTAGAATTAACAAGACTAAACAGGTGTCAGCTTTGGACAATCAGTAGCTCTGAGCTGCAGTACTTATTTCCTCATATCACGCTAACCCCAGGATCCACAGTTTAATCAAAAACCTGCAGGACAGTGGGTCCTGTGGAACCGCACTGAGGACCACTGGTCCATCTGAGTGGTGAAATATCCCTTCTCTTGCACATTCTATGGAATAAGCAAGGATTTTTTGGATGGGGCATCCAATGTAGTTTTTCTGAGAGTTTCGTTATACAATTTTGTAAGAGTATCCAGCTGAACAATCTACAAAAATGTGGACAGGAAATTTAATTTATTGTTTCCATGATTGGAGAGAAATTTATCTCAAAATCCTTCAAAATACTGGTAACGTCCTGCTTGAAGCTGATCACAAATTTCTATGTTGCAAGTCTACTTTGAATGATTTATGTAATCTTGATTTGAAATTAGTTTCCCTCACTGACCTGGATTTTCAAAACTCCAACCACATGAGCTGTGGATTGACCCAGAGTCAGCTTCCACTCTGACCTGCAGCGACCATTCCTTTTTGGGAGAAAGCAGAGCAGGCATTACTTTGCAGACAACACAAAGCTACATGGTAAAGTTACCTTTATTAAAAGATTTGGATGTGATACTAAATATTTATTTTCAGAAAGAAAACTGTACCAGAAGTTTTTGGGTTGAAACTGATGTCCCTCGATACAGGCTATGATCGTCTGCTGACCATCAACTGTTTTCTCATACACCTGCAACATACAGATATGAAAAATAGAGGAAAGGTTCAATTTTATGCAGCCCAAGGCTCTAGTGCAACATACCGTGCAGACTCCTGTAAGGTAGTGCTCTTTGACATAGGCACTAAGGGCAGTATCGCAAGCATCTCTCCAGCTTCTCAGAGCCCCCTCTCCGTCGTACGGCTGAACGTCGCTGACCTCTTTCCTCAAGTGATCGAAGCGAAACGATAAACGGTTACGGGGATCCAAGAAACGTCCCTGACCCAAGTCACCATGCTCTGTGATCAAGACCTAGGAAAAAAAGAGTAAATCAACAAGAATACTGAAGAATTGTTCCATATAAACTTTTTCTATTATGTAGTTTTCTGAACAAAGCGTACCGGTTCTTCATATCCCTCGATTTTGGCAGGTGTAAACTGATCCATATTGTACTGGGCAAATGACCTGTTTGAACAAAAACAAAGATGACATTTAAAAAATCTAAATAATTAAAGAATAGGCTTTGCACAGACTGTAAGACAACCCATTCAAATCACTATATGAACCATGATGTTGACAAATTTCAAATTGATTGAATGATTATTTGCATTTCTGATGAAGGTTAAATGTTACTTACTGTGACGCCCCCTCTCTGAGGAGGTTGTCATTATTAAGAAGAAGCCGAACATCTAGAGACAAAGAGAAACCATTAAGTGCTTTCTAGAGGGCAAACAATTTTAAAAATGTACAATAAAAACTCATTACTAAGTTCTGAAATAATTATTACATCATCATTTTAATGTAAATGTTTTTAGCTTGAGAAGTCCTTCAATCTGAACCTGCTGACTGCCATTCACATCGAGACATTTTCTGACTCAGTATCGGGTTACTAAAGTGCTATTAAAGACAAATGCACTTGTGTACGGAAAGCCTTTTCGCTCAAAATTACACACTATTACTTATGTACTATTTATAAGCATTCCATTAAATAAGTGTCCCAATCAAAAATATTTAAAAAAGAAACTTCTTCCTTTCTACTTTTCATTTTTTTTATTTTTGATAAATAAATGAAATGTATGTCATAGCAAGTGTTTTATTTTGTAACACTTTATATTGTACTTTTATTTCCTGGCTTATATTTAAATAAAGTGCTGGGGATTTCACAGTGTGGCAGCTCTGGTCAGAGTGAAGTGAGCTGAGAGACGACCAATTTCATCTGCATGAAGGTTTAAACGAATAAATCTCAAAATAAATAAAATGATTTACAAACTAAGATCTGACTATTTTTTCATGGGGATCTTTATTTTTTTGATAAAGTGTTTATTAATTTTGTAATTATTGGTAAAATAACAGAATCCATTTAGTTATTTGTGAATAAAACGGCCCTCCCTGTCTGTATGGTGTAATTTGAGGCACATTGATAAATAGTCAATTTTACTGGAGTCAGATTATTGCCAGATTTTTTTCCCCCTTGTCCTGAAACATTCAGGACTTGCCAACTTCTTACCATTGAAGACCTCATTGAATTCTCCAGGTGGAGCATGAGTCACAAAGTTGGCTGCTATGCGGACCTGAAATAAAATAAATTAATTCATACAATTATTATATATTTGAAAATAAATAACCATTGGTTAAAAAAAATAGTAAATAACTAGTCTAGGCAACCTCATAGATTCCATAACATACTGTGAAAAAAATACAAAACATTTATCCTGGAATAATAATAATAATAATAATAATAATAATAATAATAATAATAATAATAAACTACAGCAGTATTTAAACTCCAAACACATTATTACTGAGATTTTTCTACTGTGCAGAAAAAATTCTTTCCACTGTTGAACTCATGAAAGCATTGATAAAAGTGTCACTACAATGTTTAACTTGAAGAACAATACAAGCTAAATGTATTACTATTTAAAGGACAACAGTTTAACAATGAGAATATGTTACACAGTAATGAACATAATTTTTTGCCTGACTAAAATGGTTAAAAGGTCAAAAATGTAATAGACATATTGAATCAAAAGGGTATTCAATTGCACAGTAACTGTAACTGAAGAGTATAAAAATCAGTGCGTTTGAGGATAATTTCTTCTCATTTCTGATATCTATTAGACAAACGACTTATGATAATTTTAAAAAAAATTTTTTGAGTTGTTTGTACCTTTGTAAAAACAGTAGCGTCACCTTTACCTCTGTTTAACAGCGCAAAGTCAACAGACCCATGGAGAGTTCACTGATATTATCAGAGGAATGTCGCCAAGCTCGCCTCTTAGCCTTGTTAAAATCCCCTTTGTTTGTTTACGGACGATATATGTCGATTTACCTTCCGTGGCAGAATGGCAGTTCAGACTCCTACTACCTCCTCTATGAACATCGCCAGTCCCTGAGTTCATGTAAAGTGAAGTGCCACTGTTGCAGCTCACCCTGAGCTGAAAGTGTCTATAGTGATGTCGAGCCTCGTGAACTATTTGAGCTGCAACTGAATCTGTTTGACCCAGAAATCCACAGCAAAAGTAACGTTAGCTGCTAATGTTAGCTGACTCTTTTTATGAGGGGGAACTTACTTAACCCATTTTGGAACAAAAAAAAAATATTGTGGTAACCGCAATACAGTTTGAGGAAGTACTTCAGTAAGCAGCGACTTCAGTCAGGTTACTAGAACAGGGCGTCGGACAGGTTAATCACCCTGCTGATCAGTTGATACCGCGGCTAGCCAAGCTTCTCTAGCATGGGCTAGTTAGCTAATGATAGCTTTAACACAAGTTTACAATTTCAATAAGTTTCGGCACTTTGACATAACATTCCCAGCCCGTAATATTCAATGCATGAAACCTAATAACTTATTCCACAATACAATTAAGATAAATAAACAGAATCAAAAATAACTAGCATTCAAACCTTCTCTTCATCTGACAGCGGCTCCTCAAAGTCAGCCATCTTGGCTTCCTGTAATATAACCCCACCTATCCCAGCTAACTGACAGCTTCACTGCAGCGGCTGCCATCGATTTCCTACACAAAAGGGCTTCCCATTATTTAAATTTCGTTTAAACAAATGCGTATGCGTCTTTGTCTAACTTCATAAGCAGAGTGGAACAACCTTTTAAACGGTAAATGAAAACTAGAGCCAGCTATGCTCATTCTTGTCTTCTTTCCTGTTCGACAAAATAAAAGAACTTTGATGTGGCATGTTACTTGTAGATTTATTTTTTTATTACATAAATAATAAAAATAAAATGTTTTATTATTATTTGGGGAACTGGATCCTTTAACTTGTTTTAGGCACAGTTTCTGCTGCATTTGGAAAGTAGATATACAAGACTAGATGTCGTCTAGTCGTGAGTGTGTCCGCCATTTTGTGAGTGGCAAATTCGTCTTAGAACTCGATGTTTGGTTGAATAAAGGGGGTTTCCGAACAAATGAATAGGCTGTTTACTAGTTTTGTTAGTACAAATGTCCATTAATCATTTTTACATAGATTATTTTCATAGAAGCACTAGGGATTATTTAGATAAAAAATAACAATGAAGTGTGCTTGAGTTATCCTTGAACTTAACCTATCTTTGAAAAAATGCCAACTTGATTTAATTTTATTTATAAACATAAACTCAGTTAACTTGTTTTGTTCAGTCAAAAAGCCACGATAGAGGAGACACTTTAACTTTGTTATTCAAATTAATTGTAATAGAATAGCGATAATAATGACAACAAAACATTCTTGTTATTATTCATACTGTTATCAGAAATAGTTGACCCTATTTATTAAATTAGGGCTGACAACGAAAACTGACAGTAATGTAGTTTAAATCACCACAGTTAACGCCATGTGTCAATATATTGGAAATATGTACTACATACACAGATGTATGCTTCAGTGACAGAACACACAAATAACGATCTAATTTACATCGGCATAAATGTCCTGGACCGCTTGCAGGCCTAAAATAACGAAACATACCACTCACAATATGGCGAAGGCGTTGACGTAGGATATTCACTTTTATCCAGCGTCTATCTTTTTACGTCAAAAGTGAAGCGCTCCCTCCTTTGTGGAGTAAATTGGACTGCATTTAGCGACGCGAACGGTTCCTGCCATGGAGTCACGGGTATGATTGGTAGAAATTATCCAGCAATCCTAAATGTTTATTAAATGTGAATGGCAGATGTTGCATTTGTTTAACCTTAGAGCTGTCTAGAGTGCATTGAGTTTCGATATTAGCAGATGTGGTCAGTTTAAGTCAAGCTAGCGGACAGACGTAGGGTCCCTAGTTTTCTTTCCCTTCCAGCAGGAAGTTCCTTGTCATATGGCTCGAACTCTTAAATCTCTCTAGAATAATCCACACTGTCTTGATCACTTGCCTTAATGCAAAGCTGTTGCTTGAGGCAACAAATCGGGGAAATACTACATGTGGTGGTGACTTTTGTTTTTATCGTGAAACAGTGTTAAAACTTCACCAACTTTTCATGGGTGGCTAGCGACCTAGCTTGGAAATGAATAGGACATTGTTCGCAGTCAAACATTTGTCTTCACTAAGGCGCAGTTGTTCTTCTCTGGGCTGCCAGGTGATAACCAACCCGCAGGAAATTGCCAAAGTCTACAGAGAGCTCAGCCTGTTTCCCTCTTTAAGCAGAGCAGACGTGGGACCTGTCATCACCTCTCAGTATGGGGGCAAATACAGCAACATATACACAGGTACATCTAACATCTGTCACATCAAAAATGTTTCCCTTTGTATTCGAGTCGTGTGATTTCTGAGGTCATGTCTGTAGAGTGGAGCCAGCGTGATCTGGAGAGAAACGAGAATGTCAAATTCTGCAGACAATACATTGTCTTCCATGATGATAAGTCGGTGGTCTACTCTGGTACTTCTGGAAACTGTACTGAAGTCAAAGGAGAGTATGTAACATGTTATTGTATCTTGAGTAGATATACGGTCTAATTTGAGTCATAATCCAGGAAAACTCAACTGTATCTCCCCATTTGTTTCTCACCTCAGACTTCTAAACAAGGACTCTCCTTCTGGTGAAATGAAGGCGGTTATCAGAGAATGCACGGTCAAAGGAGAGGAGAAGCAGTTTCTGGAGGTGTGTGGCTCTCTGGTCCTGCTCAGATGTGGGTGGTTTAAATAATAGCAGTCCTCAGTGATCACAACCATTCACGTATGTCATTAAAATCCATCCCTATTGATTGGATCTCAGTTAATGTGCAAACAAACACATTGCCATATCACTTGGAGGGATTTTAGTTAAGCACACTTTTTTGTGTGCACATTGCTCTGTCCAAAAGTAAGAAAACATGGAACACTCAGCTATAGATGGGCTGCTTACTGACTAAAGCATGACGGGACATTTTATAGCACAGTTACAGCAGCAGGTGCAATAAACTCCAAAACAAACTAAATCAAAAACACTGCAAAGAAAAGCCACTCATCTCTACTGTTTTCAATAATCCTTTCTTTGGAAAATATATTCAATTGCTGTTTATTTGATTCAAATAACCCAGGAGCAGTGTCTGATTCTTCTTGTTTGTTTTATAAACCGGGAAACGTCAAATACATTTTTTGCTACTCCATTAGGTGAGTCATGTCAGGTCACTGGGTGATCTATCAATGTGTCTTGGAGTGAACTGTGTTTAGACTTTGAATCTTATTCAAGTAAATGTTTCTCAAGTCTCTATTTGAAGGTGGTCTGCTAACTGATGTCATCAGATTGCGAAATTGGGATTAAAGGATGGTGTGGGTTGCATATTAAAGGAACTACACTTATTGTTCTTGTTCCATTTCACTTTATTTCTAAAGTGTACAGCTTATCTTTGTCTGAATAATATTTACTCTGTGTTCTTTACTACAAATGTTTAAACATTTTATGTTACATTTTAGATCTGGAGTAAAAACATCAAGGTGAAGAGCATCAACCTAACAGCTTTAAAGAAACATGGCAAAGTCTATGAGGATGGTAAATCATGTTCAGAAAAAAAAAGCTGCATTTTACCTGCAGTTTGTTTGGCAGTTTGCTGTAACATCTGGATATTTTTATTTATTTTTTATTTTTTTGTACATTCCCAGAGCAGTTTGGCAGCTTGGTTTGGTCGCACTCTGAAACACACCTCTTGTATGTTGCTGAGAAAAAGAGGCCTGAGACTAAATCCTTCTTCCAGGTAAGATGTAGATAGAAAAAAATAGTTTTTAGGATACATTTTTTCTTTCTTTCTTCTTTTTTTTTTTTCTTTTTTTACTGTAAATAACTACTACCAGGCTAAACGTTGCGTTACACAGCCAGGAATATCAAACAGTGGCTTCTTTGGTCTTTAAAGTTTTATTTTATTTCCAAGAAAGGTTCAAGTTCATGCCCCTAATGTAAATAATTCACACTTAAACGGCACACACCAGCAAGATTACCGCTGTCAGAAGTTAGCAGCACTATTACCCAATCAGAAAATCACAGCAAACTGGTTCAGTCTTTCCATTCTTTCATAATGGATGAACCTGAGCTATTTTCTTTCGTTTCTCAAAACCAATATTTCTTGTCTGCATTTATTGTTCTGTGACCGAGGCAGCAGTGACGCATGTTTTCTCTCCTTTATCAGATATTCATTATGAGATTTTAGATTGAGGGGCTAACAACCTATTGCTCAATTTCTCATTTCATCTTTACAGACAGAGCTTCCAGAGTTGTCTTCCATTGAAGATGAGGAGGAGACCATGAGGGCGGAGAAAAAAGACACGGTTAAAGTGAATTCATTAGAAAAGTTGAATTAATCTTGTTGCATTTCACAGCACTAAATGCTACATTGTAGTTGTTGTGTGAATTTCATCCTGCAGGGGGAGCAGTTTGTCTACTATGAGGACTGGGGAGAGGCCTTAGTTGGCAAGAGCTGTCCAGTGCTGTGTGTTTTGGACATAGAAGGGGACAATGTGTCTGTGTTGGAAGGATTACCTGACAGCATCTCACCTGGACAGGTTGCTACTGCACTGCAATAAATCCGTCTTTGCATGAATGTTTTTGTGCCTTTAATGTGGTAATAATTTTTTATTTTTATTTTAATCAACTGTTTTCATCTCTCCAGGCATTTTGGGCTCCAGGTGACACAGGTGTGGTGTTTATAGGCTGGTGGCACGAACCTTTCAGACTAGGCTTGAAGTACTGCCCCAATCGGAGGTGCTTATCAAATATAGTTCCTGCACACAGCAACTGGCAAATTGAAATTGAGTTTTAATGCAGTTGAGTTCAAACGAATGCACCTGTTTTAGTATTTCTGTTGTCGCTTTCAGGTCATCTTTGTTTTATGTCGACTTGACGGGTGGGAAATGTGGTAAGCATGAATTGTTTGTAACATTTGTTATCAATTCAACACTGTTAACATAAGGTGTGATGGAGCTGTAAAGCCTCATTTGTTTTTAACACAAATTATTGATTATCAGCACATACATGCAGTAGAGGAAGGAATTTCTTGAAAGTCGCTAAAAAAATGCATGTTATTAAATCATACTTTTTAAAAATGTATTTAACCTTCCCATTTAATGCAAAGAAACTAGAAACTAGATGAGTGAACCTAGAAACATGTACTTTCTAGAAACAAGTACATGTTTCTAGACTTAATAAGATTAAGTCTCAGGATGTATGCTTTGATGCATAAATGGAGATATTCCTTTATTTTCTGTTGTAATCACAACTATTATGTCTAACAAAACACATGTCGCACATTTGACTTCTTTTACATATATTTCTTAAAAAATATAAAACAGCAGGTCATGCGTCAGATAAAGCTTATAGGCGCACCTATAGTGTTAGCTACTACTGGACATTATGTGTACTATATTACAACTGTGCTAATATTTACATTGTGAATACACACTCACGGAAAACAGTTTCTCTGTCATCTTAGTTCAACTAAGCATTGACATAACCTCCTGAAGTTATGTTTATTTGTTGTCTGCAACAGAGCAGCTTTCGTCAGACAACAGTGCGGTGTTTTCCCCAAGACTGAGTCCAGATCAGTGCCGAATTATTTATCTAGAATGTTCTGTATATGGGCCACATATGCAGTGCTGCAAGCTTTGTATGGTAAGAAAATTAGAGACTTTTTTTTTTTACATGTTTATTCTCCAGTTTTCTAATGGGAAAGACACAGGAGTATTTTTTAGTTTGTTAATATGTGAATTTTCTTTGTCGTATTCTTTTTTTTTTTTTTTTGCAGTACGACTGGTACACTAAGAAGACCTCAGTGGTTGTGGATATTGTTGGACGACCAAGAGAAGGTAAATGGTGCTAAGTGGAAACGTAAAAACACACATTTTACTTCTAAGTATGTAGTAAGAGTGTAAAAAATGTACCTCTTTGGCTTTTTATGACTTCACAGACGGCTTCACTGGCATCTACAGCAGTCAGTTATCGCCGAAGTGTTGGTCAGCTGACAGTCAGCGGGTTGTTGTTGCTTGTCCTCAGCGCAGCCGAAAGGTATGTGTAGATTTTACTTGTTGTCATGTTCCAGGCGGTAAAAAAAAAATCAAATTTTTTTTTTTCCTCTTTATGCTTTAGGATCTCTTGGTGGTGGACACAAGCACAGGAAGCATCACCTCTCTGACTGCAAGTTAGTCTCTTATTGCGCTGCGTTTTATGTGATTCATTGTTGACAGTTTCACGCCCATTTATTTCGGTATGTGTGTAACAGTTAGTGATTTCATTATTATATATTTATGTCAATGTAGAGTCTGAAATTGGTAACTGGTGTCTTCTGAATATCGAGCGAGATCTGATGGTGGTCAGCTGCTCCTCTCCTAACTGCCCCCCAAATCTGGTAGGATCTGTATCTTTGCTAAGAAAATTTTGATTTTTTAAAATTAATTCATGCAAATGTCCTTTTGGACTAATTGGGAGTTCACAAAAACTTTTTAAACAACTTTATGTAATGCAGCAGATTTTCTCTCTTATAGCCATGTTCTTTTTTTGTTGTTGTTGTTTAGAGGGTGGGCTTCCTTCCAGGAAAGGATTCCCAAGAGCAAGTGGTCTGGGTGACTTTGGAAGAGTCTCAGACTTTACCAGATATTGACTGGCAGATCAAGACTTTCACTCCTTCAGAAGGACTAGACAACCATCAATACCGTAAGATAACTCTTTAGAATATTCAGGAAGTAATTGTACTCGGAGAACTGTAACTTTATTGTTGCCTGTTTTACTTTTGTAATATGAACTGACAATATTTTTTACCCTTTTTGTTTCAGTTATTAAACTTCACAAATTACTAAAAATTGTCTTATTTTCAAACTATATGTGATTTAATAGGCAACTGTCTCTTTTAAAACATATCAGGCAGTGTTTTGGCACCTCTCAGGTTACTGCTTATTTTTACTTTTAAGGAGACTTGTTTCCATAAAACTAACATATGACATAAAATCTGACTTTCTTGTATAAGTTGTATTTATCAGAATGGTGGAAAAAAATTTAAAAAGTATTTTATTCTAATCTTTTTGAAAATTTACTCCATTGAATTTTTTTAAATGTGTTTTGTCTAATTTAATTAATTCACCGCTAAAAATAACTTGTATTACTTCCACAGTAGCAATGAAGCAAATTGCCTTGAAGCAGACTGCTTAAGGCAATTAATGCCTTAATTAACTAATATATATTAGTTCTTGGGTGGATAGTAGAAGTCACACCTAAACAATATTCAATGTTTAACAATTGCATCCAAAATTGTAATGAAATACTGTTTATTAACCACAGAGTTTTTGTTTATGAAGGACCAAATGCATAAAAAATAATGCTAATATGCTTGCAAACAACACAGTAGTATAACTATTTGCAAACTATTCTAAGCTCTGCTACTTGTACTAATTCATGCTGCTAACATGTTTTGCTGTATTTCAGCTGGCACTGACTTTGAAGCTGTGCTGATGAAACCAAAAGAAGTGAAGGAAGGAGTGAAACTACCTCTGATTGTCCTCCCTCATGGTTCGTAACTCAGATATATGGATAGAAAAAAAGTCATTCCAAAAGAGCTTACATTATGAAGTAATAAAACCTGGGCTATTAATCCCTACTGGGTTTATTTTTAGGCTCTCTTCAGTCAAGAGCTTCTACTGATCAGATTGACATTGCAGACAGTAGTTGCTATGACAATGGTGCTCCTTGTGGCACCTCATTTTACTGAAAACAAGCTCAGTAGTTGTCATAGAGATACACCTCTGTTAATCTAATTACATGTTTTACGGTGTTTTAATTGTGCACCTGTTGCCGTGGCCACCAGTTCCTAATTGATCATGTCAGGGCAGTTTCACTGTTAATCTGTGTCTCTCATCAGGAGGTCCTCACTCTGTGATTGTAGCTGAGTGGCTTCTGTCTACCTCTGTGTTCTGCAGGATGGGTTTTGGTGTATTACTGGGTAAGTTAGGTTACCAATGTTGAGTGCAGCTTCATTTGATACCTGTTGAAACCTAAGAAGTATATGATGCTTTAAACATAGCTCTCGGCTTCTGGGGTAACTTTAAACTTGGTTTACAAAGAGTACAAGGATTACTTCCTGTTTCGTGGCCACTGATACTGGTTCAGTTGGGGAGAGCCACTCAATGGCTAATTTTTATACATTTTTATCACTTAATTTATCTTTTTCTTCTTATGGAAGACTGTACAAGAACCTTCTTTATATAAACTTAGCTGGAAATGCCTTTCTGTTCAAGGTTTTTATCCACAGCTCTTAACATTAAGTTTTTATGTGTCCTTTCTGTAAGTATTTCTACAGCATAGTAACTCTAGATTATAGATAGATTGGACGCTTACTTTAAGTTGAGGGTAAATAGCCTTTTTAAAGAAATCTTATAGGTTCTTAGGACTAGGAATGCCTTTGCAGTCTGCTTCTACCTTGATGATTGAATAAGTGGAGGAAATGGTAAAGGTCGTGTGTGGGAAACATTCTCAGATAACAGTCTCGGTCTCTCTGGAAAGTGGAAGTTGCATTTGCAGTTCTAGAGCACGGAAATCCAAGACCAAATTGCAAAGCAATCATACCTGAATTTACCAATATAAATTGGTAATAGGTTCATATCTTTGAAAAGATTTCTGTGGTATTTGTTGTACAAAGCAGCAAATATGAGTTTTTTTTGTTGTTTTTGCAAGAAAGAAACAAGAAAGATTTGCAAAATCGTCATTGTTCAGAAAAAAAATGAATTTCCCAGGTAACTTTGTTTCAAATCCTCAAAGAATGCAGACATTGCTTAAATAAATCTGAGAAATGTTTATCGAAATTTAGTATGCATTTATCTACATCGGAATACAGCTAAATGCTACCAGGCATGTTGGTGCTTGTGGGAATGCTTCTGAATGTGCATTTTCTGTTCATAGTAAATTATCGTGGCTCTCTCGGTTTTGGCCAGGACAGCATCCTCTCACTGCTGGGCAATGTGGGTTCCCAGGATGTCATGGATGTTCAGGTAAAAATATACTCAGCACCATTTGAGGACCGAATAAACACAAAAAATAAGTCTGCTGCTGATAAAGTTCAAGGCCTTTCATTATCCCATTGTCCATTTTCAGAGTGAATTCTTTTGATATACTCTCTATACTGAGCTGAAATTACTTTGTTTTGATGTATCAAAATGATGTATAAAAATTCTGATAAATTAGAATAAAATCTACTGTTGAAAAATTAAAAAAAGTGAAAAGTCCATAATATAATGAATTTCAGTATTTCCTTTGGTAATGTGCTTGTACTCTATCGGTCTCTATATAAAATGTCTTTGAGTTGCCATAGATGTAAAACATGGCTCATAGCAGCAGAGCTCATTTTGTTTTGTTCTCCTTTGATCATTCTCTGTTGGATTTACAGATTGTCTTTTACATAGTCTGTCATTTGTGCTTTACTTCCTCCAGTATGCTGTTGAAAGTGTCCTAGACGCTGAGTTTGACAGGGAGAAAGTGGCCATTTCTGGGGGTTCCCACGGGGGGTTTCTAGCCTGCCATCTAATTGGTCAGTACCCAGGGTTCTACAAGGCCTGTGTGGCTCGCAATCCTGTCGTCAATTTGGCCTCCATGATTGGCAGCACGGATATCCCGGATTGGTGGGTCTAGTTGTGAAACATCCCAACACTCTTGTCTATATTTGGCGATTCCTGTAGTGAAAGTCTTGAGCAATTACAAAACTGTGATATTTTATAATTGGTTTATGTAGATGTAAAATAAATGATTTTTTTTTTTTTGCAGGTGTGTTGTTGAGGCAGGATACGGTTACAGTCCTGATTGTCTCCCTGATCCTGCCGTTTGGGAACAGATGTTAAACAAGTCGCCTATCAAATACGTCCCTCAGGTATATTTATGTGAATCTCAGACTCATAGTTCTGACTTTACTGCTTTTGGTTTTGTGATATCATGTAAGTTATTATCTTGTTAAGGTTCGGACCCCAGTGCTGTTGACTTTAGGGGAAGATGACAAGCGTGTGCCTAACAAGCAAGGGATTGAGTACTACAAAGCTCTGAAAGCAAAGCAGATCCCTGTTCGGTAAGTACTGACAAGGTGCCTCATCCATAACAGACTGTGTAGCTTTCGCTTTAAAAGTTGCCATAGTGACATAAGAGTGGTGCACAAATAGATCAGATTTCTAAAACCATCCACACACATGTGGTTGTGAACCTTCTCTTCATAGATCCCTATTTGCGTGAAATAGACTGCAACTACAGGTGTCACATGAGCTTCCCTTTGAAATGCCTTGCTGAAATGTGCTATACAAATAAAATTTGATTGATTGATTGCTTCCCTGTCCCTGCCTGTAAATAATGCTAATATGCTTGCTACAGCTACAGGTGTAACTTTGTATAAATTGCCGGAAGACTCCCGTCGCATGTCCCAATGACCATGACAATAGCCCTTGTTTTTTTTTTGTGTACTTCACAAAAGAAAATAACAGCACACCTTTTCAGCTTAATTTAAAAACAGACAGCATGCCAGATAGTCCTTTGGAATGCCTATTACGCTCTAAGGAAACATATATTGCACCAAGGCCACATACTGCATTAGCTGGGCACATCACGTATAAGTTGTACATTTACAGGATGGAAATGCTTTCTATTCATAAAGGCACACGAGTTACAGGGCGGTGTTCTTACAGCAGTATGACTGCAGTCAACTTGTTTTGATGTTTGTTTATTAATGCTCTAACATGTATTTGCACAGGTTACTGTGGTACCCTGGAAACAACCATTCTCTTTCCAAAGTGGATGCAGAATCAGATGGTTTCATGAACATCGCTTTGTGGATAATTCAACACTTAGGCCTGTGATGGTGGCATAATGAAGACTAAAGGACTTTAGTTTGTGAATGCAAACTTATTTTTATGTTATAAGGCCCAATCCAAAGCCAAAACATTGAGAATTGATCTTCAGCTATAATACATTTTAACTGTGCGTAACCCATAATGTACTTGTGGGTATTGTTGTTAATTTCGAGTATTGCATAAGAAGATGACTAACAATTAAAAAATAATAGTAATACCACACTTGAATAAAAATATTTGATTCAATGTAAACATTTTATTGATACTGACTTGATTTATTTTTAATTATTTTGACTTTTTTTCTGATTACATGAAAAGAATAACACTTATAATCAGTCTCTTTTTTAGAGATTTTCTTCTGCTTGGGTAATTAGATTTTTTTTAATTAAATCTCTTGATTGTACCATTTTGTGCACCTAATAAAACAATTGTAAGAAAGCTCACTATGTCAGTCAAATTTTTAAATGCATTTTTGTATAGGTGAGTTTATGAGGCTTTTGGCTTCCAATAAGCTTAGGTCTGAATACATCGTAAATTACATGTCCATGTTGAATGTAAACATTTGACCACAAACTATATATAAATTGGAAGACGAGACTTAGTTGTTTTTTATTTATTTCTGCTCACATAGTTAGAAGTTCTGCAGATAACAATATTTATTTTTGTTATTTCTATTTGTAAGTGAATATATTGTTTGTGTTTAGTTTCTGGTAAAGATGCTACATCTGTGAGCCACCACATGTTGCTTAGCAGTCTGTGACTTCCCATACCAATGCATGTCAATAAGTTTAGATTGAGTTTTAGTAGCAGCAGGGGAAGTGGTGCATTTTCACAGCTGCATCAGTATACGTCATCCTGCACAAAATGTTAAGTTAACGGAGGGAACCATTACAAAAATGTAATGCTCGTATACGATTGAAAAGACATAAGCATTTTTCTTGTCTGACATTAAACAGTTAACAAGGTAATATGGAGGAATAGTCCAAAGTTTCAGCAAACTACTGTCCTGTGAGCAGGTCCAAAATTTTAGACTAATATCAAACAGTTTACATAATACCACTGCCAAATGCTATAAGGAAATGTATGCCAACTTGTGAACTTGAAAGAAGCTTACAACAATTTTACCTTAAACAGAAACAGGTAAGTCAAATGTCAGACACTGAAAAAAGCAAAATATTCTTTTTCTACAGTGCATGTTAAAAAATGTGCAAGATAAGCCATTTAAAGTTGTTATATATTGGTCTAGGTGATCTCAAAAATGTGTTGTATGATTGTTAGTGCCCCAAAGCCCAAGACATCTACATTTGTTCAGAATTGGAGGATTTCCTCTGTCTTTCTTCCCTTTGAGGAATTCAGTATCTAAAAACAATTAAACTTATTTTTAATTTAGTCTAAAGAGCATATTACAAAGAACATCATATTAACAAATATAATTTTTAAGTGTATTAAATTACTTCAGTTAAGTGTGCAGCTGATGTTCCTCGTTCCTTGTTTTATGTCACATGCTTTTCATCAGACTACTGCATATTTGACCACATGGTTTCACTTCTGCATTCATTGCGCTTCATTTTACTGCAGGCTCTTTGAACAGTTTACACCCTGTCTTCTCTTCAAGAGGAATAACACGTTTTTCTCAAACTATTACGATTTGTTTTTAATCTAGTATGGTAAGTGACCTTTTTCTACCCTTGTAAATATAGTGTTTCCTTTTAAAAATATTGAGCTATAGAACTGGATAAATTTTACATAGGGAATTAAAGTGTTTGCAATTTAAAAGCTCCTTTTAATGCAATATTTATTGAATGTATTGATAAAGTTAAACGAGTGCTTCTGCAGTATTTTCTGACTTGAAATTTGATACACTTTTTCAGGCTCTGGAGAAAGTTCTTATTGCGATTCAGTTTCTGCTATATGGAAATGCAATCAACATCCAGTTTTTTCCATGTGACGCCGATATGAATTCAACCACAGTGGACTGCTCTAACAGACCTATCAAGCACATCCCGATCATTAAGGCTGCTACTGTTTTATCAATCGATTTGAGTGGCACTAAGGTGCAAGCAGTGAGGAACCACGTATTTGCAGGTGTCCCAAATGTTAATACTTTACAAATAAAAGGCAATTGTCTCCCAGGTCAACTTAGACGTACTGAGCAGCAAGGATGCAACATGGAAATTGAGCCCCATGCCTTCAAGCACCTTAAAAATCTTACATTTCTGTATCTGTCGGGAAACAGCCTCACATCTATACCAAACTTACCTGAAGACTTGCTGTTTCTTGATTTGCAGTACAATTGCATCTTTAACATATTTGCCCCTTTAAAGACTCCAAATCTAGAGACTCTGCTACTCTCCAAGAACTGTTTTTATGCCAACCCTTGCAACCAGTCTTTTTACATCAATGCAACTGTTTTTAGAGGATTACCTAAACTCAAAAACCTTACATTAGGGTATAATAATGTAACAAGTGTCCCAAAATTCCTGCCAGCCTCTCTGAAGGCTCTGGATTTAAGAGAGAATACAATGACGGAGATCCCAGAAGGGTCATTTGCCAACCTGACAGCCCTTGAGTATCTGAATTTGGAGTGGAACTGTCAGCGTTGTGACCATGCAGCGCGGCCCTGCTTCCCTTGCCCACAAAATCGCCCTCTCCAGCTGCATCCCAACTCTCTGTATTCTGAAAACAGCTCCATCACGTTTCTGAGCTTACGAGGAAATTCTTTAAAAACATTTCCAGATGGCCTTTTTAAGCCATTGAAGAATTTAAAGGGACTGGACATCTCTGATAATCTGCTGGCGTTTGCTATACAAAATGGCACCTTTTTTCAAGAGCTGACTGGCCTCACTTGGATTAGCCTAATCTACAACTATGAACCGCTTAAGACCTTTGGAGAACTGGATCTCTCTCCATACATTGGCAACATATCAGGTCTGCAAAAGCTTTTATTAAGTGGGAACTTTTTCCATACCATATCAAAAAAAGGTTTCCATGTTCTCTCTCAACTCAAACATCTATCAAAATTAGAACTGAGAATGAACTTCATTAGCGAATGCAATTTGACGACCATGAAGCAGCTACCATCTCTCACTGCTATAGACCTCTCCCAAAATATGCTGAATTTCCTTCCATGCTGTTCTGAATCATCTAGAAGTGCAGACAGCTGTCAGAACCAGAACTTGTATTCAGGTGATTTCCAAGATGTACACACTCTCATACCAGACAAAGAAACAAGAACTAGTAGCCACATCTGGGAATCTGACCAGTCTAATGGACCAGAAAGGACAATTGGCAGCGAGTGTCAAATTCCATCTCTACTGAGCTTTAAAAATAAGTATTGTTTTCAAAAGCTATCTTTTGACCTTTCTCAAAATGACATCTTATCACTTAATAAAAGAGTGTTTTTAGGCATGGAAAACGCAGTTTGTCTCGACCTTTCTTACAACTACATGAGTCAGACATTGAGGGGTGGACAGTTCAATAACATGACAAAATTAGTCTTTCTTAACATGTCCTTCAATAGACTGGATCTTTATCGCGATAATGCTTTCAGTGAACTTCAGTCTACATTGAAGGTATTAGATGTCAGTAATAATGACTTTCACTTCAAGATGAGAGGAATGGGCCATCGTTTTGAGTTCCTTAAAAATCTGATTAACCTGGAAGTGCTGAGTCTTGCTAACAATGGCATCGGGATGCGGATAGATCAAAGGCTGGTCAGCGGGTCCTTGCGGTACCTCTACTTCAATGGTAATCGTCTGGACATCATGTGGAATGCTGACTACACCACATACACTCATTTCTTTCAGAATCTAACAAAGCTGAAATTCCTGGACATCTCCAGCAACAACCTGAAGTCACTCCCAGCAGAAGTACTGCGTAACCTCCCAGTGAGCCTTCAGAGCCTCTGCATCAGCAGAAATTCCATGAAGAATTTTCCCTGGCAAAACATTTCAGCTCTGAGCAATTTATGTCATCTGGACCTAAGCTACAACTCTCTAAGTGATTTGGTTTCACAAGAAATACAATTTGGAGACCGATTTTCCTTTCTGGACCTGAGTCACAATCATCTTACTTCTATTCCAGACAATTTCTTCAATGAAGCAAGGTCTTTGCAGCATCTGTACCTCAATCACAATAAAATCAAAGAGTTGAACCATCAGCATCTACCTGCACCCTTTCAGAAGGGGAGCAGCCTTGAGAAACTCACCCTTCACGACAACCCATTTAAATGTGACTGTAATACTTCATGGTTCGTTGTCTACTTGCGGACTACTCCAGTAAACATTCCTTATCTGACAACACGAGTGCGCTGTGGATACCCAGACTCTCAACAAGGTGTGATTCTTCTGTCTATAGACCAACATTCCTGTCAGGACATTTTTGGTAGCTTAGCCTTCCTAGTTTGCTCTTTCTTATCTGTGACATTTACTGCTCTTCCACTGCTGAAGCATCTCTATGGCTGGGATGTGTGGTACTGCCTGCAAGTCTTCTGGGCAGGACTCAAAGGCTACTCCCAGCTGCCCGGTGGTGTTTCAGATCATCACTACGATGCTTTTGTGGTTTTTGACACCAGGAATCTCGCTGTGAGGGACTGGGTTTACAATGAGCTGACTGCTAACTTGGAAGGCTCTGGCCATAGAAGATTTTCTCTCTGTTTAGAAGAGAGGGACTGGATACCTGGGCTCTCATGTATCGATAATTTGCACAGTGCTGTTCACAGCAGTGTGAAGACAGTGTTTGTGCTGTCCCGGAGCACAAATGGAACTGAGCTGGTCAACGGCGTAATCCGACAAGCTTTCTTCATGGTTCAGCAGAGGCTTCTCGATGAGAAGGTATTTTCCCAGTCTTTTTTTTAAAACGCTGTGTGAATGTTGTAATCTTTTCATAGCCCTAAAATATTTCTGAAACTTTCTATTTAAGGTTGATGCAGCTGTGGTTGTTCTCTTGGATGAGATGTTTCCAAAACTGAAGTACCTCCAACTGAGAAAGAGACTGTGCAGGAAGTCTGTGTTGTCCTGGCCGAGAAACCCAAGAGCTCAACCCCTTTTCTGGAACCAGATGAGGATGGCATTATCGTCTGATAATCTCAAGTTTTATGACAATAACATAAGTGAAAGTTTTATATGATTAAGTAAAATAGTTAAAGTTCTGGGAAAGTATTTACCCCCTTACAGATTTGCTCTGTTTTTGCTTTGAAGTTTTTTTTGTTTGTTTGTTTTTTTATACCAGACAACGATATGTTTTCAGTTTTGAGGAAAAAAAATAATATGACGACCAATCTTGTGCTATATGAAAGAGTAATTCCCTCCAATAAAGCGTTAAATCTAGGTAGTAGAAGGAAATTTGGCACTCTTTGTTTTAATTGAGCCATATTGAATGCCACCCAGCGTAAATTTCTTTCTTAAAGTGATGGCACATTGTGCCCTTTGCACTTAAGTCCAGTCTTTGATTGGATCACTCTAAAACCTTTATTCCAGGTGAAAAAGTTTATTTGAGATTGTTACAAATGGATGACAATTTATTTCTGTTTTTTCTGGTAGAGAGCAGAATTTATCCATCCATCGATTATATATTGTCTGATATAAAAGTTTGATTTATTGAAGTGTCACAAAAAATGTCAAAAACAGACGAATTTAGTGAGGAGGTAGAAACTTTTTTTTTCTGGACTGTATTGTTGAATTTGCACATTTCCATCTGACCTCATTTTGACAAACTGACAGTTTCAGGAATGTTTTATTTTTGTTTCTGTGTATTTCCTGTCTGTATTTCAGTTTTTGGAGCAAAATTACGCTCTACAGCAAAACAGATGATGGCTTGTAACAGTTTTCTGATGTCACAGAAGGCTGAACACAGGTGTGATGGTGTAGCTTATGTAAAAGACAGTGGTTAACCTACACAAAGAGATAGATTTATCCCCCTAGGCCTCGGTTTTCTTTAAGATTTCTGAGCTGTATTTGTGGCCACATTATGTCTTTGAAGTTATTCTTATTAAACAATTCCAATTTAATAGTTTCTATTTTTCATTTTGATTAATTTGTATTTAACCTTACCAAAAACGTGCTGAAGAAATAGTTGGTTTTAGGTGCTACGAAAGTAATTGTAATTCAGTCATGGCAGTATACAAACAAATTGACATTGTTTTAGCTGATTTATTAAACATTACAAGAGGGTATGTGATGTACCTGCAAGATACGCACCACTCTGAAAGTTTCACTTCTCTTTGGTTTGGGAGGAAATGAAAAGCCTGAATAGTCTTGAAACAAAAATAAATAATAGAAGCCCTGTCTTTTGCCAGGTGGAGTGGGAAACTATTACCAAGTAAAAATGTGAGATGTGGATAGGCCCTTATCAAAGAATTCTGAATGTTGAGGCGTATCTTTCAAGAATAAAAAAGCAATCAATCTAGCATCCCATATAATGCTGAGGTGTCAACCCTTGTCCTTAGGTCGCAACGTCACGGTCTCTGGTGCACTCGAAGCCATAATGACAAGATAATTTGACTTAAGTTTGTCAGGAGAAGAGACGCAAGTTGAATATTCCTCCTAGTGAGCGCTAATTTAAAAGGCACAAAATAATTATTAAAATCATACACATATGCAATATCTAAACTTACATGAAATGCATCCACACAATATATGTCCATAAACACATCTTAAAATCACAGTTGTAACAGTGGTATCAAACAGTGTGACAAAGATATTAAACAAAAAATAACTTTTGTCTGGGTTTTTCCCATACTAAAAAAAAAATAAATACAATAAAATAAACGATTTAACTGTTTTACATTTTTATTTGTGAGATCATCCTGATGGAAGAAAAGATGCGCCCATTAAAAAAAAAATAAAAAATGTTTAAATGTTTTAAAACATTTTCTAATGTTTAAAAAAATTTTTTTAATGGGCGTGTCACTAATACCTATTAACACGTCTATGTGTCACTAGGTATTAATGTCAGTTTATTTACTGAAAAATTAAATGCAATCATCAAACTGAGTTACTGACGCATGCGATGTGCACATTTATGAATATTTGCTCAACATGGAATCTGTGTGGAGAATTAAGTCGTCCAATCACTGCTCGCTCGCTCGCGCTGCCCCACCACAGCTCTTTCTCGAGCACGCGCCAGCTGGGTTAGCGCGCCCACGCGGACCCGATGGTAGGACAGGTCACAGCCGAACCGATGAGATCATGGAGGCTGCGCTGAGGTCGGACGGGATACGGCCGACGGGACTGAGCGGTGATGGAGAGCTGCCTGTCCGGTAAGATGGAGCTGCGCGCACAGGGCGCACCTGGACTTTTTTTTTTTTTTTTGGAAGGTGGGAGCGTTATTTGATGCTGTTATATGAATGCAAATTAAAATTGACTGCGGTCAGTTGGCGTGACAGATTATTTCTTATGTAAGATACCAGCTCGGACTCGTGTGGCCGTGGATATGCTAGAAACTAATCCTTCATGCCGTGGTCGTAGTAGAATTGTTTGGGCGTCTGTGCCCGGCTTGCCTGGTCACTTATAAGTGCTCCTTGGTAGGTCGTTCGTCTATCTACCTTTAAACTATGTTAGACTACTTATTAAACCCTTCTATTATGAATAAGAAATTGTCATGCTGTTGAGGGTGTTGTGTTTTCGCAGTAAGGGTGGTGACTCCGCTTTTCTCTCCACAGCAACAGCTGGTTGTCGACTCCAAACTAAGCTGCAGGCGCTTGTGGACTGCTTTAATGCCAGACGTGCATTTAAATCGAGCATTCCCTCTCCCTATTTTATTTTTAATTTTTTTGTTTTAAAATGTAATGCATTTAGCGGCACATACTTCGCTGGCATTCATTGTAATGAACCAGCTATTTGTGGCACCTCCACCTCAGTGTTTGTAATATAGAAAAAGCTTTATAGGTAGCTAGCATGTGTGTGCTTTCTTTTTTTAAACCACGTGTAGAATTTATTTTGGCAATCCCTCACTAGGAATAGAAAAACTGCCTATACTCCATTTCAAAAAGTCCAATTTATTGCCATTTAGACTGTGCATCTGATGTACAGGACATTCAGTTTATTGTCCTGAGCAACAACAGATAAGGGATTGACAGCTAGGTTATGATTGACACGCAGACTTAACCAGTCCCTCAGTTGTATCCTGTAAAGGGACTCCAAGTACCCAATCCTCTTAGATTAGAGGAGGGATTATAATTTGGATTTGCCTCTGCTTTATAGTCAGTTGTCAGTCAATGTCTGCTCCCCCTACATGCTGAGTCTCAAAGGGAACTTTTTTATTTGTCTGAAAATGTTAATATAGTATTGTTTTTAACACGCTAAATCCAAGACGTTTCTTTATTACCACTTAATATGATACATACACATGTATGTCTGCTGTCTGCTGATTGAATGTTGATTTCTTATCACATCATGTACCAAGTAGGATTTGGCCTGAATTCAAAGTACCTATTTTTTGTCCCCTATTTATAGTTGAAGCCTGAGGTGTGTACAGCCTCGCAAAGACTGACTGTAAATTTGAAACTGGCCCAGAGGGATGGGATGTAATGAAGAGTGGTCTTTCAATTCTCTTTGCAGTCTGTTGAGGCCAAAGCATTCCACAAAATGTTTTCTTTTTTGTCAGACCTCTGCAGACAAGAAATTTAATACTTTCTGTTGTGCTAAATTAATCACACCTATCCACATCCTTCCTTTTCACTTTTGCTTTGGGATGTAGAGACTGGGATGCTGCTTTATGGTTTCTACTTAAGACAGTGAGTGCTGATTTAAGAGCACTTGAGTTTACAACTTTGATCACCTTTTTGAAAAGAACTTTATTAGTGTGCGCACACAAATGGTTACTATTTATAATTGTGTTGGTTTTGCCCATTTTTAATCTCTTATTTCTTGTTGTTGCATTTCTGTATTTTTTGTATGTCTGTCTTGTTTTTTGCTGCCTAGAATCCATGATGACCTGCAATGTAACTGAAAGTCCAAGACATCTTGGAGCATCACTGCCAACAACCTCATATTTTCTTCACAAAAGACTAAATAAACCTGGATGTCTGCACAGTCAGATATGGATAAGTGAATAGTGGCCTTTATTACTCCCATTGCTTATTCTTATTCCACAAATGGATATCCCAGTTTTCCTGCCTGTGACTATTTGCTTGCAGATGTTATATTTTGCCATACAGCCATGCCTTTAAACATAAGAGCCAAGCCCTCGCACAGCAAGCTGACTGCTGCTGCAAAGAGTGGTGGGCAAAATGATGGCTCATCTCATTCACGCTTCTCGAGGTCTACAAAACTGGGGAAAGGTAAACAGGCCGTCAGCTCAGGTCCTGGGTCCCGATCAGGACTTGAGCCTGGCTCTGTGTCAGGGGGCGGGCCTCCACCAGCACCGAAACCGACAGGCGCACAAGGTTCAGTTTCAAAGCTTGGTTCAAGACTCAAAGTCAACACATCAACAGCAGATAAAGGATCAGCTCGTGGGTCAACAACAGCTCCAGGTGGCAAAACCATGTCCATGGAGAACATCCAGTCTTTAAGTGCGGCCTATGCCACTTCTGGCACCATGTATCCCAATGAGCGGGAGTCCTTGGGTCCCTCTGGTGGATACCCTAAAAGTACCATGACATTAGGGCGGAGTACCAGTCGCTCATCTTATACTGGCCGCAGTACAGCAATTGGAAGCACCCCAAACATCACAGCCTCTGGAATGCATCACATATCAGACTCTTGTGGAGAACAAACTGTGTTTTCCACAGGAACTTCCAGTTTGCGACGGCAGTCTGGAAGATGCACACAAACACTGGATTCGGATGATCGGGGAGAGGTTTCCACCTGTGATCTCCAGGCTCAGCTGAGGGATCTGCAGAAAGAGAATGAAAGTCTCCGGAGGGAACTGGATGGAGGGAGGGATGGAAAGACAGGCTATGGCATGAATAGTGTTAATTTCTGGAGTCCTGACGTAAAGAGAGACAAGGGGAGTAGGCGTGAAGAGGGCGTGAGGACGGCAGCTCTAAAGGAACAGTGCAGAGTGAATCAAGAAGATTTACAGGTGAGAAAGCAGACAGCAACAGTGCCTCATCCACTTGAACTTTTACATATTACAGTCTCAAACTTCAACTTATTTTATTTGGATTTTATAATACAGATCAATAAATAATGATGTAAAGAAAAAGGAAGAAATCTTACGGATTTCTGTTTCTTTCTCTCTGTCTGAACTTCTTTTGAGTTCTTTTGTCCAAGAGCCAAACCTCAGAAAACATCTTGTACTGGAGGATTTTGTAAAGAAGTAGCAACGGAAAATGAAGGAAGTGCATCAAAGTACTTGACGTTGCATTTTAGAATGAAAATAAAGGACCATGATAATCTCTGGCCTGTAGATTGCTGCATTTCTACTAAAGCCACTTGAGAGTCTGTGGAAAAATGTGTTCATTAACTAACCATTGTGTCTGAGTTTGAGATATTTTGCAGAGAAGAACAAGCTATTAATTCCAGTACATATGAAAACACATTTCCCAGAGGTTCTACAGCTGCTAGCGCAGTAAAATGTGGTTCTAGTATGGATTTGGAATGGTTAGTACAATGCCACTTATTTTTATTAGTGAAATAGTTAAAAACTGAAAAAAAAATAAACATTTAGCAATTTACTTCCACTTTACAACTGTGTACTCCTTTGTGTTGCTCTGCCATATATACTAATAAGGAATAATAAAGAAACATAGTTATTGTAAGATGTCAAAATATCAAAAAGAAGTTTCAGTGAGTTTCTTCATTAGTTCCATTCAGATGTTTTGTGTTCATCTCTGAAAAACACCATTTGTTCTCATCTTCAAGGTTACACTGAATAGCTTGGCTGCCGTTTTGACTAACAATGTTTTCCATGCTACCTCCACGTTGTTTCCATGGGAACTTACGCAAGGTGTTTGCCGGGGTTTCTGGGTTCTCAAAGGGCTCACAGCTTTTGCTGAAGGAATGGTGACCAGTCTGTCCTGTGCAGTCTCTCCCCCGGAGTCTGTCCCACTCATTCAGAGGTGTTATCCATCTGTCTGCCTCACCCACCGCATGGCGACTGTGTAGTGTCTCTTCTTTGTTTATCCTCCCTTGGTTTTTTATCTCAGTGCCCTTCTGTCTCTCTCTTTATCGGGCATTTTACATCTTTGTGTGTCTGTTCTTTTTCTAGAAGAAAATCCAAATACTACAATCGGAATAGTAAAGCTATTTGATTTAAAAATAAGGTTTGAGGTTTTCAAATTACAGAAGCTGGAACTGTGATTGTTTTGTTGCTTTTACACATACAAAAAACAGTATCTGCTTCCTCCTGCTGTAACTGTGGAGCCTCCTCTGCATTTTTTATTTCTTGCTTTTTCATCTCACTTGGTCATAAAGTGTAAGAGCACTATACTTTAACTAAACACACATGCATGACACATGAAGTCAGAAAATGTGAAAATGAGAGTAGGATTAATTGGAAACCAATATGAGACAGCCTTTTTGCTCTCAAATCTGCTGATTAACATAATTTTCTTCATCTGAAACATGGTGAGCTGACTTGTCCTTGATTGCACCTTTGCATTTTAATTTGCTCAATCTGTTCAGTCTCTGAACAAGGTCATTCTTCCTTAACCAAATCAAATTTAGTTGCCTGATATTAATTTATGTATTTCTTTCCAAGCAATTAAAGGCTTTTAAAGGAATTAAAATAAAAAGCTTCATTAAGAGCATATGGTCTTAGTCAGAGAACATGTTTTTTTGTCTTGCCTTCTGTCTCTGCTTGAGTCTTTCTCTGCCATTGTCTGTCTCATACGCACCCGCCCACAGCTGTTGAGCTCAAGTTGTTCACAGTTTTCTTCACAATATTGATTTGACCACTCATTAAAAAGCAACCATGTCTTTCCCTGTGCCTCAGCCAACACTATAACTCAGTGTCTCCAACTCTTACAAAAAAGAAAAGGTCACCCTTTATCTTCTCACTAACTCCCAGTTCAGTTTATCCTTTTCTTTTCCATTTTCTTCTCCATTTCTCCTCCTTTTTTGAACTTTTTTATCTTTTTGTGAGTCTCTGGAAAACAGGTGAAAACGATAGCTGCAGTTTACCATAAAGAATGTCACCTTTTCTTTCATCTGTGCTCATTTGACCTTTCCTCTCCGGCCACTTGTGTGTTGGGTGTGTATGTGTTTCTTTGAAATGTGAATGTGTCCACTGTACACGTGAGCATTTGTGTATCTAGAGTCTCAGTTGTCTGTGTTTTTGGGAAGGACTGTCCTCCCACTCTAATTTAATATTCAGTGTGAGATGTTGCATTGATTATCCATAAACTCACTCGCTCTTCTTCATCTCCACTCTGTGTCCTTGGCACTCCCCACCTTCTGCACAGGAGCACAGAAATCAGAGTGCTGGCGTGAAAAACAAGCAAAGAATTCCCACAAATAATTCCTGTTAGTGTGAAACTGTTAAATGGGGTTCCTAACAAATGTCAGTATGCTAGGCTTTCACTGTGGTTCACTTGAGACCCAGTCCCTTAGAAATGACTTTGTAACTCTTTATAATTTAATAGATGTCAGTCACTGTTTTAATCAGTTTTTCTTTCAATCCTTTAGACTGAGTCATGATGGTTTTCTTTTTGAGATTTTTAACTTTCTATTAAGTGATAATTTTATTCTACAGGTGCATCTATAGTCAGGCTTGGGTATGGCTTTTGAGATAGATAAATCTCACAAAAGTGTCGCTTACATTTATTTACTTACAGGTTCAAATTTGGGAACTACTTTTTAAACAAGTAGTTCCCCCTTGATTGAATCATAATTTGAGAACTGTAATAAGTCTGGTTATATTTGTTATTAAAATCTGTTTATTGATCTGAAACATCTGAGTGTGGCAAAATCCGGACAAATAAGAAGAAATAAATCTGTTAGAGGGCAGATACTTTTTTGAAGCGCACAGTAAAATTAGTTTTTTGTAACATTTAAACTTTTTTTTCACAGATGTCACTTGATAAATTGTTATCCAGAATATGTGAAGTAAATAGTGTAGGGGAAAAAACAGTCCATTTAAAGCGTAAAAACTCATGTGATTTGCAAAATAGTCTTTGACTAAAGCATTGGACAGATAGTGATGCTGCCCAAAAAGTTATCAATCTTCTGGTTGACTACTATGTGCAATATTGTTCACACCCAGTAGTCTTTGCTGTAGTTTATCTTTATGAAACCATTGTTTCACAAAGAAATAATGGTTCTAATTGTGTTAAAAGATTTTGGAAACAAAACAAAACAAAAAATAAATCAAATGAACTGAACCTTTCAAGCAGCCCCTCAATAGTTCAATTAATATGCTCCTTTGCTTATTTTTTATTACATTTTTTTTTTAATTTTGTAAGATAGTAAAGACCTGGTTCTCCCCAGCAAAAGAAAAACATCATGACTCAAGGATGAAAAAGTTAAAGTACAGTATACACTCTACAGCAACACAGTATATCACTATACTGTGTTGCTAATAATAATAATAAATAAATACATAAATAAAGTCTTCAGCTGCTTGTTGCTATAGTTTGCAGTGTCCCCAATTACAAATACTATGTCACCAAATTATCAGAAGTTATAATTTCAGGAATAACATAGACTGAAATTACTGCTTTTGTTCTTCTAAAAAAACGGTAGCAGTTGAAGCAGAAATCCCCAAAAATGAGTACCGAAGGACACAGCTGCTAGAGAAACAACTGTAATACTTCTAATTGAGGCGTTATGAAAACTTGGGTTTGTGGATTACCTTTTATGACTTTCCATTCTAAATTTAATCTTGATCGTAATAAAACTTTCATTTTCAGCTTCTTGTTGATTAGAAATTTTTAATTATTTGTTTTGCTGTTTTTGCTTATACCAGATGTTCAATTAGATTTGTCCCTTTTTAATGCACTTTGAATAATGAAAAACATAAACATGTCAGCGACACCTGTCCACCTGTTCTTAATAATTAATAATCTTGCAGAAACATTATCATTACAGTCAACTTTAGAGATTTATGAATTTGGCTTAATATATTGACATATTTTTCTATTTGTAACAAAAACAGAATATTGTTGTCAAACAATATTGAATATTTTAGTCATTTAGAATATGGCAACTATTTTAAAATATTTTACTCTAGTTTCCTTTACTCTATTTAACTCTAATAGAGTAACCTCAGTTCACACAAATAGCCAACTTTATTCTTCCTCTCCACTCTAATTGTATGTCAACTACAAATAAATGCTCCTTGTACCTACGTGTTTCTAAGAGAAAACCTGCCCCCTTGAGGCTTAGTTGTGTAACTACCACCCTCTAGCTTTACTGGTATGTATCTGTGTTTCTTTTATCCCATTCTGGTACAGCTGGGGGATATAAGAAGAAACAAGGTCTGTTTTATTTTTTGTTTTTAAGACACTCACTCTTTTTATATGTGTCGTACTAAGTTTTGGCAATTTTGAATTTGAATGATTACTGAACAAAAATTCACTTTGTGGTTGCAGCAACTTCCTTTGACAGTTCAAGAGCTACAGGAGGAACTGAGAGCTCACAGAGAGACAAACAGTCGCCTGCGGCAACAGCGGCAACAGAGCAGCTCCTACCAAGAACACCATATGGACCAGGAGTTCAGAGGGGGGCTCAGTCCTGGCCACAGTCCCAGACAAAGTTCCATAAACCTGCACAGTCCCGCACCAAAGAACAGCCCGAAAGCCAGTCCATCGAACACCTACAATCCAAGGCAACAAGAGGCTGACATCATCATTCACAGCCCTGGCTATGGGTGTAATACATTGGCAGCCATGCAGAGACTTAGCCCAGCCAACACCCTTCAGCCTGGACAAAGGAGCAGTCCAAGCCAGCCCCTCTACAGTCCTAGTCAGGGAGCATTGCCCAGCTCTAGCCCCCGTCATCCATGTAGCCCCTGTCAGGTGCCTGGGTGCGACGGTTTTTCTTCACCTCCTCCTCAGGATTCAACAGAGGAAAACTTCTTCCGACTGCAGTCAGAACACGAGCGCCAAGCCAATGAGTTGTCCCTGCTGAGGAAGACTATGGAAGAGATGGGGATGAGAATTGATTCCCAGAAGCAGACGCTGGGTGCACGAGACGAGAGCATCCAGAGGCTGCTGGAGATGCTTCAGGGTCAGGGACAGTGGGGACGAGGACAGCGGACAGGCATAATTACCATGGCAGCCCAGGAAGCTGATGCCCACTTGGAGAACATGCATTTGAGAGAGGTGTGTACGTCTTCCTCATAGTTTTTCAATGTGTAAATTCATTTATATTAATAACTTCATTTTACAGACACAATGGCAGCAGTAACTGGCATCGAGCAATTCAGTGAGTGTTTCGCATCTCTGGGGGAAAGTTTATTTCTTCTGGTTGAATCATAAGCACTGACCATAACTGAGGCAACTGAGGCCTACAATGCTTTAGATGTTTTTCTGGTTTATTTTGTGATGTCCTTTATGGGTACTTCATTAGCTTTTTATGGTAGGACACACAGCTTCTCCTCGAAAGGTTAACCAAAATTCTGCATTTTCTCTATTTGTAAATAATGGCCCTCACTCTGACTTGCTGGAGTCTCAAAGCCTGAAATGGCATTGCAGCCCTTTCCAAACTGAATCAATAAAATCTGTGACTTTATCATCGGATCTTGTAAATTTTTTTTTTTTTAGCTCTGTTGTAGCTTTTTTAAGTCTTTAAAAAAAAATCTTAACACAGATTTTCTGATCTCAACATTAGCGTTTTTCTTGTGTAACTACTTGCAAAAGCATGTCTATCTGCTTTTTTCATTGCTTGGTTTTGTGTATTTGTGCATGTACCTGTTTTTCAGTATATTTTTTGTGTGGTGTTAGAGCAGAAAGCAGCTCAGCAGGTCTTATCAATGGACCAGATTAACATACGGAGAGCTCTAAGCTCATGTTCAGCCATGCAGTTTTACAATCTCGTGTTGTGTGTGTGTTGGTGCGTGAGTGGGTGTCCATGCTTGTTCAAGAGCATGCACATGTTGCATATATAGCTGCTGATCATTTGTCAGTTGCAGTGCAGCCAGCATTGCATTTGGCTTTTTTCTGAAATGAAAGGAATGAATATTAAATGAATTAGGATTATGTTGAACCTCAAAAATATCCAAATGTTAATCTTTTTCTCCTGATGTGACATTTCTCCTGATGTGACATTATCACAGCATGTGGGTTCAGAAAGTGGTGTTTCAGCACAGGTGTGTGTATCCTCCACTGTGAGGGCTGGCAGGATACTGCTCTGTAGCTCCTGACTCCTGCCTTATCTATTTTTAACTTCTAAATCTTCTTAACCTTTAATTTCCCTATCTCTGGCTCTGTGTGTGAGTGTGTATTCTATGTTGGTGTATGCCTCCAACACTGTTTGTGTCGTAATGTTCTTGACTTTCTTTCTCCATTCAGAATAAAGGAATGTGTATATGGGTGCGTGGGTGTGAGCGTGTGTACACATCTGGATCCTTTCTGCTTACCATTTCCCTCCAAGGATTTCTGATGGGATATCCACCCTTGCCTGGAGTTTGGCCACCAATGCGATTTTTGGTTGGTTTAGGCCATGCTAATGCAGACGTGTGTGTGTATGTATCTGTTTGTCATATATGGGACCTAACCGTGAGTTGTACGTAAGACGTGAGTACATGTTTACACACTCTTATAGTCATGTTATTTTTAAATCATTTGACAGCTTCGGATAGTCTGTGTATTCTACAAAGGAGGAGGGCAAAGTGTGGTCTGTCAAAGGGAGAGGTAGACATGCTAGAAAGGTTCTGTTTTTCTAAAGTAGAAAAACAGGCTGTGTTTATCTGAATATTAATGTATGATTAATGAGAGAAAACACTCTGACCTCCCTGATTGAAAAAAGAGGGAGTGTTGTTCTTTCAGCTTTTTTCCTTTTTTTTAAGTTTCCCTCATGGAAGACAAGGGTAATAGGGTCTCTGCTGGAGCATTTATATACCTATATGTGTGCAATTTAACTATGTCTGCCACTTTAAACTTATTGCTCATTTAGCCTTTAAAGAAAACTTTAAAGACTTAAAAGACATTTAGTCTTTAAAGCTTTCTTTAAAGAAAACTTTAAAGACTAAATGTTTTCACTCCTGAATGGAAGAGTTCATTATTGCACTCGTTGGTCAGTTTCTTTGTAAAGCTTTTTGGGACGTCTTTGAGAAACTGCCAGGAGGTTTGGCAGTTGGATTCCTTCGAAACTCTTTGCTTGATGTATCAATTTTTGAATGGCTGGTCTGTTTGAAGAACAAGTGTGCAGAACAAGAAGCAGCTAATGTCTGGCACAGGTTGCTTCACTTTGTGTGTTACACTAGCAAACGTCACGGTCAATGCAAGCCAGGGACCATACAGTGAAGCAAGTTAGAGGGACTTTAGTTCTCTGTTTAGCACCAACGGAAATCAGACCAACCGCTTTTCATTACTGCACTCGTTGTTCACTTTTAAATGACGGTGCTTGTTTAGTTTAAGCAAGGGTAATAAATGTTCCTGTTTTCAGTTTGCTGGAAAATTTTTCGGGAGAATGACTCATTGTTTTTGTTGGTGAGAGGAGAAATACTATTCTTAGGTTCAGGTGAATATTTTACAGAAGTAGTGCTTCAGATGTAGGGTATGTAAAAATGTATGGTCTTTTGATTCTATCATAACATATCATATCCAGATGTGAAATCACTGTCAGTGTTGATGTATAGTTGATGTATAGTGAAGTATAGTGACTTTCAAACAATTTCAACCCCTTGAAGTCTTTCTCTAGTTTTCTCCTATGCATTTTCTTAGGACTGTATTTAACAGATCAAAACAAATGTGTCCCTAACCTTGAAGTGGAAGAAAAAATATATAATTTTTTGCTTAGATATATCAGATGGAGAGTGCTACATATTCCCAATTGGATTTAGGCCTGAGTTTTGACTGGACCATTCTAAAACATAAATACCATTTCATCTAAATTATTTAATTTTAACTTGAATTTTTAGTGTCCTGGTCATAGTTGGACCTCTTCAGTTTTTTACAGCCTCTAACAGGTGTCACTCTGTTCACCTTTTCATCAGTTCTGGCCAGCATCATCACCCCTGCTGAAGATAAGCAACCCCTGACATGTTGCTGCTGTGCAGAGGCAAAAAAGTTCTGTTTTGGCCCTATCTGATCAGAGCATCTCCACTTGTCTGTGGAAAATCTTAGATAGAACTTCTTATAGTTTTCTTTAAACTGTGGCATTCTACTGGGAAAAAATAAATAATTGTCCTGTCAACAGATTGTCCCATATGTGCCTTAGATTTCTACAGCTCCTCCAGAGTTAGCATGGTTACCACAGGCACTTCTTGAAATGAAAATCTAACCAGACTATATGTCTGACCTGTCTAGCATGTTCTTTAGTTGTTTTTATCTTATATTCAAACCATTCTGAAGCCTTTACACCACAGTTGCATTTATGCGGAAATTAAATTACACTCAGGTGCATCCATTAGCTAACTACCTGACTCCTGACAATATTGTTTGTGCTGGATTTTAAATAAAGGGTTCAGAGTGTAGAAGACTGAATATAAATCTGGGCCACATTTTATAGCATCTTTGGGTTGGTCTTTTGCAATAAGACACATTGACCCTTGTTGCTGTAATGTGGTAAAATGTGAAGAAATTCCCAGGTCATAATTACATTAACACTGTAACACTGCTTGATCACTTTTGATGTAGGCCTACATCTGTAGAGGATGGTTTAGGTCAGGGTGCTCAAGTCTAGTCCTGAAGAGCTATCACCCTGCAACTTTTAGATACGTCCATTATCTAACACCCCTGGATCATATGAGTGGCTCTCTACCAAGCTTCTGCAGAGCTGAGTTACTTATAACATTTGTGGAAATTTAGCCTTTTGACACAGGTGTTCAAGATCAGGAATGTATCTAAAATTGCAGGATGGTATTTCTCTCAGACTGAACCTGAGCACCATTAATGTACAAGAAGCAGAAAAAGAAGCAGCTAGGGGATGTAGGTAAGGTCATATTATCATGCGTGCTATCTATTTAACCTTACCAAGATAATATTAGTGCATGGTGTCAGAAGAAGTAACATAAATATTAAATTTCTTTATTTTAAACTGATTTTTAATTTTGTACCAAAGTGGTGTAAAATGTAAATTCTTGCAGTACTAAAAGTGACCACAAAGTGGCACTGTTCAGTTAGAGTTTAGCTGCTGTGGCGATTACATGCACTTGCAAAGCAAAGTTATGTGCGATGGGACACACAAACACACACATATATGCATGCTGAGAGGCATAAATCTGGGTCTAATTGACTCTCCCTAGCCGCCAGGTCCCTGCAGACCCAATAATAACAGCAGCACCACTGGTCTTATCCTGCCCAGCCCTGACCTACTGCCAAAGGCATACACACATAAACATACACTCTTGCTGTGAGATTTCTGCTTTGGCATTTATATATTCTTACATATAGTGATGTTGTCATATGTTCTGTAGGGGCTCTAAGGAGAGTAAGGGTCCCTATTTCATGTGAAGACATCTCAGTGTGGGATCAGGAAGGTTGAGTATATTGCTCTGCTGTTAAAAAGAAGCAAGCAAGCACTTACGACTCCCCTGGTTTCAAAACTCATTCTGCTTGTTTTGGCAGCTCCTCTCTATCTGCTCTTTCCTCTGAAAACATTGATGAAGCTTCAGAAATGTTGGTTTTTAAACTCTTCAGTGCTAACATGTTGGAATTGGAAGTTCATGTCAGCAGATCCTTATTTTTCCAATCTTTTTCCAATTTTGTTTTGTTTTGCTTACTTCTTACCCTTAATTTTAATTATGCCTATTTTTTAGTTTTCCTTGTTCTCTCTTTATTTTCCTCCTTTTGTTTCATTTATTTGATGGAAAGCTTGTCCTGGTTGGTACCTCTTTAGGCCTACATTCTTCTGTACTCATGCCTTACACAAGAAGCTCTCAGTTATTTTATTTTATGAAATATGCACAAAATTTTGCTCACTCAAAATCTAAGGGCTTTCAGGGGCAGTAGTCCAGGGCCTCAAGTTTTGGGGTACCTCAAAGATTAAGTAATTTTTTTGTCATTAATGTATGTTACACAAACATTGCAGCTTAAATCAAACACATAAAACTTTAACATTGTTACATTTTTATTAACTTAAATGTTTGAAAATTCTGAAGTCAAAATACATCTTATTGGGCCAACTTGGAACATGCTATATGCTTAAGGGTTATTTAGGCTTCATCGTATTTCCTTGTCTTTTCTGTCGACTATCATCACTTGGCCCTGCCGCTGCTTTTCATTTCACTGTCAGGAACTTCTCTAGATCATCCACAGCAATGGTATCACCATATATAATGTCTATGGTGTGACTGTGTTGCTTACTTCTTCTACATGTTGATTAGCTTGAGGACAGCTGTCACCTAGTGATTGGAGGCCTTACAGCCATTCTTTGTTTCTCAGGAAGACAGACTTCCTCTGAGTTTACGATTGCTTTGAGAAACTGCTCAGGAGTATGTTTACTGACTATATGCTTTAAATCTTTTATGTGTTTGAAGTAAGGATTCACTGATTGCTTAACAGTGTAAAAATTCAGTTATATTTTACTGCTTGGTAACGTTTAGAATATTTCTTTTATTTTATAGGGCCAGCAGCAACGTAAACCGATTATATATTTAAGTCCTGTCTCCCTTTTGAGACATATAAAAGTAAATAAATATGTAATAGTCTGTTATGGTTATGAAGCCAAGCATGCAGCTGCAATAAAATTTGTGATTGATGTAACAGTCTTCCACATTAAACAATAAATCATTTTCCCTTTCCAAGTGCTTAGCTGGCCAGTGCTACAGTTTGTTTTAAAATAAAAGCTTGCATGAAAAGTATTTGGTTGTGGTCCACTTTAATGATTTGTGAAAAGTGGGTGGGTGGATGATGGTGGGAGAACAAATGGATACAATTCTAAGAAATGTTTCTGGCTTGATGTTTATAATTAGCATTGATGGCAAAGTATATTGTACATATTGAATAATATAGCACTTTGTATTGCTCTCTAGATCCATATATTTTGTTTCTAACACCCTTTTGCTTGAATCATATCAAATTTATAACATTTATTTATAATATACTGCAAAATGTTTGGTGCAAACACAGCCTAACAGCATGAACCTTGTATGATGATGTCAAACGTGATGTTGGAGGAGGAGTGATAACTTGAGCCCATTTTGCAACTATAGATATTGAGGCTCCTTGCAATTTCAGCATTGTGCATAAAAATCAGTATTTAAAACTGAAATATGATGCCCTTTGTTGAAATGATGAGCTGTCATTTAAATTAGACTTTTCCTGCTGTAGAATACTTTTCAATATTAGATCATTTAAATTTTTTAACCTAAATTAAAGAATGTCTAATTTCACCTGTATGTCTGTCCTGTTGCGTTTTACATGTAACTGCATGACATGTTTTGTGTTTGGCACACTTAACACCATTGCATCAAGGCCAGAATTGAACACTTCAGTCAGTGTTGAAGTGTTGCATTTGATTCTGTTCTGTCCATGTCCTCAGCTCTGACGTATGTGGAACTGAGACGATAGCCTTAGATGACATGACTTAATTTCCTTCTCTGAGGGAAATAAATTTTTGAAGGACGTAAAATTTATGCACAGTCTTTGACAGAAAGGTAAGGTAAATTATAACGTACTGATACCTCTGTCCAAGTCCAAGTAAATCCTGACCTCCAGTATCTATGTCTGAATACATTTGATTTTGTTTGTGTAATCTTTTCAAGAAAGGTTTGCACGTGTTCTCCTTGCTGAATGAAAATGTATTCAGAAAGTAACAGATGTCTTCCCTTTAAAATGGAATGCACTTTGTGTTAGTGCTGTCACAGTCTGTATTAAAATCTCTATAAAACAGTGGAGTAACAAGGCATTTTCAGAGCAACATTTCATGTGCCAGGATGTGTGCTTTTGTGTGTGCCTGTAGCTTGAATGTCGTTCATGGCTTTGTGTAGGCATTGCTGCAGGTCAGTGCTACCGTTAATTATTGATAGAAAAAGCTTAGCGCATGTGCTGGCAGAAACTGTTGCCTAGCACAAGCTTCAGCATGCCAGAGACATCTGCAAGAGAAACAGTGAAAACAAGTGGGAGAAAAAAAATTGGAGATTCATGCCGAAAAGTGTAGTCGAGACTGATTCATTCGTCCTAAACCTGAAGGTGCCTTCTACTACCCGCTAGCAAACAGAAAAAGAATCTGATATAGACCTGGCAGAAAAATCCATCCAGCCTCTTCTGAGATAGAAATCATCCTTTGGCGAGTATAACATCAGGGACTCGACTAAAGATCATAGGAAAAGTTTTATTGACTCTCTATGGAAGCACAGCAATGGATTTTATAACATTTTTAAAGAAAACACAACCTGAGGAGCCAAAAGGAAGGAGCCAGTGAGATTTATCAGTGTTTCTTTGCAAGTGGCTTTGAAGCTGTGGGTATTAGAAAAAGCTAAAGATGATGAGCCGTCAGGCTTGCTTCTACCGGGTCCCTCCCCCGGAGCTCCATCGGCGTAACCAGCTCCCGGCTGATCCGGCTAAGAGCAGAACTCTGCAAACTGTCATTGATATGAAGGTAGGACTGAGAAAATCTATAAGAAGGCAGTGATTTTCAGTGATAATGTGCCACTTCTCAGCTCTTCGTTAGTGATAAAAATTTGTTTTCCTTTTGGCAGTGAGTGAAGTTGTTTTTCTTTTTTTTATTATCTGTGACAGTAGTTCACTTCTGTTGCATGCTCCTGCTTCAGCCTGAATAGAGTAGAAAATCTGCATTGACGTTAAATACCAGCACATCTAGTGCATGCATTGTATCCTGATTAACAGTTAAATGAATATCATCCTATTATGTCTTACTATAGCTGCAATGCCCAATATTGGCACTTGCAGAGTTAAGCACTTATTCAGTTTGTTTCAAATGTCACATATGGAAGCTTTCACTCTCATATCAGCCTTTTGAAGCTGTTACTGCTGTGAAAAATGCAGTTGACTCCACATGTGTCTTTGAGTAATCCCCCCCACACAATTTAGTGTTCCTTCAGCAAAGCACTTGTTCCAAAAGCGATTTCCCTACCTCAAAGCCACAGTTATTTTTTACACATACTTTGTGACTTTTCCACCTATTAAGAGCCCAGCAGGGTTGTACACAGAAAGCAAACAAAAATAGCAAATACCAAAGGTAAATCTGGCTGAGTTATTTGGAAATAGAAGCAGAAAAGCCTATGACACACTTGAAGTGGAAAAAATAGATGCAATGCTGCTAGTATAAAACTTACCTCATTTAAAGTATCTGACCTGTCTTTGTTTTAGTCTTTAATGTGCTGCTTGTTTTAAGATGTGTAAATTTATGCTTTGTAATTGCAGAACACAAACGCTTCTTTCTGTTTTGATCCTGATGTTGTCTGGCAGGTACTGTATTAGCTCTCATGTGTTTCTCTTTCAGTTCATTTGACATAGACAACTGTTTTCTGTTATGACTTTTAGCCTCTTTCCCTAAATCCTTCTGAGTTGTGGTGCAGCAATGTCACCTACCATTGCTTGTTTTTATTTTGGATATTTTGGAGTTCAACTTTTAATTGACAGCCATCCTTCTGCATGTCAAGTTAATTTTAGTAATGAGCACTGTGTCTTTGTTGTGCCTTTTATTTATTTTTTTTATCTTCCAATGGAAGTTGGACATATTATTTATAATGCAGAGAGCATAGCTAGTGTGTTACTGTTTTCCTGGCAATCCAAAAAGCATCTGCCCAAGTGTACACTCTAGTGTGTTTGTTTCAGTAATTTAATATGCACCTTTATGTGTTCCTGCTTGATCTGCCCTTGTGCTTTTAGAAACATATGCAGCACAGTGTGGTTTGCAGGGCTGATGTCAGAGGATGTAATAGTGGTCAAATGTCTACATCTCTGCCTGTGGTTTGTGCTGATGGCACTGAACAGTCTGCTTCCAGTTATTTAATTATGTTTCTCTTCTTTTTTAAAGTTTAGAGTTTAATGCTTGTCTAAATCCATGCAACTATACAAGCTCACGACTTGTTCATGACAGACTGTTCAATCATGGAAACTAACTTATTTTTTGTCTTGAGCTGTTTGCAGATGTATGCATTTATCTTTTACATTTTTTAAATCTATTTTTGGTCAAATTTGGATCTGATATTAGGCTGGACAATTGTGACCAAAAATTTACAAACACTTATGATCACAAATTTCAAATAAATGTTTGGCTATAATGATTTCATTTAAGCGTATTTTGTTATTTTTTCTTCACAGGGTTTAATGATTATACAACATCTATATTGGGTTTATGTAAACCTGCTGTGCCATTTGAATTCATGAATAGTTTATGTAAACTTCTGACCCCTTCTGAGGTCTTTAAATAAACAACCTAATATTGATCATATTTCTGTTTGTATAAAAGTTTTAGGTGCAAATAACTTTGGATAGTTTTCATCTTAGACTCTTCTGCAATCAAATCTCGTGTCTGAGTCGTATTCCTGCTGATTCTGTACCAAAAATACCTTTGCTGGTGCAGGACACCAAGATCTCTTCCCTGGAGAGAAACATCAGAGACTTAGAGGATGAGGTCCAGATGCTAAAAACCACCGGCCTGTTGCACCCTGATGAAAGGCAGGATGAACTCAAGCAGGTGGAAGTCTACAAGAGCCACTCTAAATTTATGAAAAATAAGGTAGAAACTCTTTGCATGCCACACCAGCCGGCGTCATGCTGCATGATTTGAGTGATGCATGTTACATCATCAGTACATGAGCAGTTGTTCACAAGCATGTCATATTTCTCTAATATATGGTTGTTTTAGGCTTCTGTTGAGCTGTTGTCTTGCTATATTTATGATGTATTGAAAATCGTGTTTTATGTGGGAATTGATATGAAGAAATCAAACGCATTTTGTGAAACATTATGCTTTGTGATACATGGAGTATGTATAGTATAATCAGTGTTTATTGGGTAGAGCTTGAGAACCTCCCTCCTTCAGAACTTCATTTAACTGAGCAAGATTTGCTATTATGTATCTGGAACATGCCATTAATATTTTGGCCCAAATTGGCAAACATCGTGTAGTTCCTTCATCCATGATGTGACTGTTTTTGTTTTACCAGATTCTAAAGGTACTCTACCATGGAGCCCATTGGTGTGCAAGAAACTTACTAATCCAATTTGAGATTGTTAGTGCTTTGTGATTCCATTAAATTCAAATTCACCAAATACTTTCTTCATTCTAAAGAGATATTAAATGTTGCTGCAACCTATGTTCTCCAAGTTTCTTTAAAAAGTCTTTGTGGATATTTCTGGCTGTGGGCAGGAGTGATCTCCAGCTATTGTGAGTTTTAATGTGCATCTAAAGAAACGTCTGACTGAAGGTAACACATTAAATGTTCTTATTTTGTATTGCCAATACTTTAGTTGTGACAAGTAGATATTTGAACAACTGCTGCTATTCTTTCTCCTCACACCAGCTGTACTAATTCTCTTGTGTTGTCTGCTGTCTTTACCTAAACAACTGCCACTCACTGATGTTTCTGTATTCCCAGTAGTTCAGCAGTTTCCGAAATTACATGTTCATAGTCACTTAAATTCTTTTTCTTTCCCTATTCTGAGGTTCAGTTTTAATTTCAGCAGGCGAATTGCATGGTGTATGTACCAATGTTTTGAATGGCTTCTGTGCATTGGCTTTATGCCTTTCATTCCAACCTCAAAACCATCCTCTGTTTCAACACAACTGAATCAAATAATCAGGACAGCTGTTTGATTAAGGTGTTTTGAACCAGGAGCTCATCTAAATATTGGTGAGCACCGGCCCTCAAGTCCTGGATTTGAGGAGCCCTGGTCTAAAGTATGCATTGTGCTACTGAATCAGTTCACACTGACTCTGAAGTCAGTGTCTGGTTTTACGGTTTCCAATAATTGTGAGGTGAAGACTTGGAGCCTCTTTAAGTCCAGGCATAGCATCTGAAAAACATACTCTGGAATTAATTATTGAGCAACTGCTGAGACACTTGAGCAGAGCTTGTGCAAATTATGTAACAGTGGTACGAATATTTAATGATTATGTCATCTCTGGTTTATGCTAAGATTTTTTTTTTACTTTCCCAAAAAGAAACTGTGGCAGCCTGGTATAGCTAGACTGTTATATATCCTATATTGTCAGATTTATTAAGTATAATTCTGGGAAGTAATTCTCTGAATGTGGAGTGTCTTGGTATTCCTAAGAAACACAAGACAGGTACCCAAATTTGTGGGTGTTTGGGGGCGGGAGTGGTATCAGGTCTCTCGTATTTAAAGTGAGAACATGTTTGATGGAACACACTCATGAACTATCGGCTTTATGTGAATCATCCTGTTCTGCACTTAGGAAAGGCTTGAGAAAGATTTCTCTTTGTATGGCTGACTGCTGATTTTCTTTTTGCATTCAAATGTGCACTGGACGACATACACAAAATTAAACAGAGACTAGAATATTTTTGGAGATTCCATAGGTTGGTGAGGTCACTTGATGGAAAATAAATCTTTGGAGAGTGTAGAATGTGTCATCAGTTTATATATTTGTAGCAGAAAACGCACTATGTGAAACACGTTTAAATGGATAAATGTGGCCCCTGGTTTAAGATGTTTTCAGTGGTCTATGACACTGAAAAAGTATGTTATTAAAGCAATCCATTTAACATATGGTCAGAATCCTTGTTTGGAATTAGGTCTCAAGTTTCACAGAGTTTCTGTCCGTATAGCTGTGATGGCTATTTATTCTACTTTGATGGCTGAGGCCCATGAATCGTGCTTACATGTGAAAAGGTTTCTCTCGGACTCATTAATGGTGCTCTTTGTATGGGCTCGTTTGTCATTGAATCGGGGGAAGTTCCAGATGCAATCATAAAAGAGATGTTTTTATGAATGGGGCTCTGACAGACGAATGTGAGCTTACAACGGCAGAGGAACAGAGAAGGGGAGTTCTCTCTTCACCCATGATATACATCACAGTGATGGCTCTAGCTTGCTTTTGCATGTCTCATCTTTCTGCGTACAGTCACACAGAGAAACAGAAAGTCACCACACATGCAGCAATGCACAGATTCATTCTATATCCTTGAAGTGTTTGGGTTCCTGGTGTTTCAGCTGTGGTGGTGAGTGCCATTGAGGTGCAACTGTTGTTAAAGAAATTGGAGAGGGCATTGTCCCTGACTTACCCGTTCTCCTCCCTTGACTTTGATCTGGTTAAGTGCTATAAAACTATTGAGTAATATAGTTTGGTAAATGAGCTCTTTAAGTGGCTGAGCGACTTTTGTAGAGGTTTACTTCAAAAGTCTGATCTGTGTGATTCAGAAGATTGTGTCTGCACACACAATTAGACTTTTAGCTTAGTAGTTGCTGTCGTCTTGTCTCTGTGTTTCCGTAGGAGCAGACATTGTCACCATGTGTGTCTTCCATCAGACCAGCTCCTACCTTCCTCATGCCCACTCAACTGCCTTGGATCACAGAACAAGAAGAAGTACTCATTTTATTAGCCTCTTTACTTTTAGATCGTTTCCTTCATTGGCTAGCTAATGTTTAAAATATCTATTTTCTGTTTTAAATTTAAACATCAAGTCTTGTGCTTCCTTTCTGAATAATTTTTTGCTCTTCATGTTTCATCCTGTCACATCTCTGAAGTCGCCTGGCAAACATTTTCCTAATTTCACAGTTTACTGTGCCTCTGTTTTAACTTCATGGATCCTTGGGGATCATTCTGTGCCTGTAGGTTTTTACACATGGTGTGGTTCGGTCTGACTTTCATTTTTATGTGGTGAACTCTGCTTACTTAGTTTGAGTAATCTCACTTTTAAAACAACTCTGTGCATTTCTGGCACCAGTCAAATTCCAGTCTTCTGTACATCAGTCTACTTGGCAAAGAAACCTCCCTTTTTTGGTGGATTTAATTTGCTGTGTGGTGTTTTGTTATGGTATCTATAGTTTTTGTAAGCCAGCCAATCTGTTTCTCTTGATGATTTCCTGCTTTTCGGCTGTCCAGCTTAGCATTTGAATTCAACTGAACAAGGACTCCCGAGTAAGGTTGTAATAACATTATAATACTGAATGGCTACAACATAATTTGACACATTGTGTTTTTAAAATGCCTGGGTGTTGTACTAAATAGACCTTTTTAAAGTTGAGGATAAGCTTTGAAAAATATATTATGTCTTCCCCTTCATTCAGAAATAACTAAAATTAGATTTTTCTAAATGTAATAATGTATTTTGTTTTGTGTGATTATCAGATAGAGCAGCTGAAGCAGGAGCTGAATAGGAAGGAGTCAGAGATGCAGGCCCTGCAAACCAAACTAGAAACACTGACCAATCAGAACTCGGACTACAAGCAACACATCGAGGTGCTAAAAGAGTCGCTCAGTGCCAAGGAGCAGCGCGCCAACACACTGCAGACAGAGGTGAGTGTTTCTAAAATACTTGGTGCAAGTAGTATGTAAATGCTGTTATGCACAGGTTTCTGCAACAGAAATAAACACACTAATAGAAAGAAAACTTAATAATGCTATGTTACTAATTTATTAAGATCTGGATGAATTGGAAGTAATTAGTTATCAGCAGGAATCAAATGTTCCATTTTAAGTGTTAATATTGTGCTTTCATATTTCACTAGTTGTTTTTTTTTTAAATAATACATTTCCTAAATGTATTATTTAGGGAAAATCCTTTGTTTATTCATGCAAAATTAGAGATGAGACAGTGAAATGGTTGAATTCGAGATGCTTCAGTGTATTTTGTTTTGACAGAAACAAATTGGCAGTTAAGGTCTCTCAACTTTTTCCCATAAGCCTTTCTGCTTTTCTTATGGGCATATAGAGGTGGGTGGAAAGCTATTTTCTACACCACCACATTTGTACATGTGGGTGGGTCAGTCAGCAGGCTGAAGAAAACTGGCAGCTTTTACTCATGTTTGAAGTGTTATAGGCTCTTCACCTTTAATCATTTTATCATCATTTTGGGGAGGAAAAGGGGTTGATTGTGGTGTGGTGGAGGAAGCATGAATGTGAAATGTTTGTGTTGAGTGTGTGTATTTGACCAAGTTGCATTTTTTCATGTCACTCTCTTGACTTGAAACCGAGACTTCATATCACTGGCAGTTGAGAGCAGCCTGCTAACTATGTCAACTCATCATCGCAGGAAGCAATTTGAGCCAAAATGAGGCTTAATTGTTGATACATGTGCAAAGGATTTCAGCTTTTGCTCTTTGGTGAATACATCATACTTAAAATAAATACTTTTCAGTGGGTGGTTTTCTGTGTCTTCATGTTTACCAGCCTTAAAAGCAATGTTGCAATTTTGAGAAATGTTTGTCACCATGACAGAATTTTGCTCTGGGGACACCTGCTGCACTGAGACTTACAATTGTGAATTCTTCGAAAAGTATTCATCCATCATTTTGTCTCTGCACAGCTTTTACCAATCAACCATTCAGAATGTGGTCACGAAAAGGAGCAGGTGTGCTGAGATGAAAATAAAGGCCAACTTTGAATATATATTTTCTTCCTGTTCAAAGATTTTAAATGGAGTTGATAACAGGAACATTACAATCCCTTTTCATTTTGTGCTCGTGTTCACTATTTTTCTTTCATGATTTAACTAAAGTAGAACATTAGAGAAAGATTTTGCCACTAGTCATTATCTCCATAGGTGGTTTTCTCACAGAGATGGGGCTTCCTGTAGCTTCTTTGGGTTGAGCCCAGTCTCCAAGAATCACAGTAATATGAAATTAGTATTTGATCTTGTTTCAACCACAAGTTTATTCTGTCAGAAAAAAAAGTTAGGATATGCTGCTAATCATTAATCACTAGTCTGTGAAAAATATCTTGCATATACAGCCCTAGTCCCAGGACCTTCCATTCTTTAGTACTGTGAGCTTTGTAAGTAAGTTTTTGGGTCATACTCATCTATTGATATTGTTGATATTGTTTTTAAATTCCCACAACTCTATCTGTTTGTCATTGCATGGTCACAATGTCACTTTTTTAAACCCAGAAAAATTTTATGCACATAAAAGAAACCTAAATTATGAAAATGCTACACAAGGAAGTCAAGCAATGGTGTTTATAGTAAAGTAACGTAAAATATATTTTCCTTCATTGTTTTAACTGGAATTTATTATGAGAAAAAAAAGTGTTGTAGAGCCAGCTGTCATCCCAGCGGTCCTTTTGTAAACCCTGCGAAGCTGCGAAGACAATAAATTGCCTGCAAAGGGAGGATATACGGTTCATGTTTTTGTGGTTTCATGGCACAAAAAATGTTTTCCCACCACCTGCCGTGTTTTTGTCAGTCATATTGCTTTGTTTTGGTTGGCTCAATGGCATTACAATTGTAGTTTTAGTCACACTATGTTCTCCATACCCTTTCTAATTTGAATAAACATTTCTATGTAATTAACTTTTTGGGCAAAATGTTTTTGGAAAATTTGCAAATTTTGACATTCCGTACTCTAAATGTTAAATAACTGTTACTTAGTGGGACCAGTTTAGAGTATTATCATTAAGATAAAGCCAGAGCTAGAATAAGGATAAGTGTTACATGGACTATCACTAACATATTATTGAATATGCACATATGTTTCTTTGAGGTTTGGCCTGCGATTTCAGGGTAAGAAGAGAAACAGCTACAATAATTCTGATTTTGGGTGCATCACAGCATTTTTTGCCATTTCTTCTCACTTCTCACTGCCAAGGACCTGTAATTAGATCCAGATCACAAATACACAAACATACAGCTGTGCACACACAACCCCATAAGCACAGAAAAACACATTGTCAGGTCTGATTACTTGCTTCTCATCTCTGGACTGGAGTAATTTTTCTTACTATTGAAGTGGCATTTCTTCCCCCCATTTTGGAATGACTCGGGTTTCCTCAACTAAGTGGGCAAACTGGAGGATGACTGAAGATCTTTAGTGTGCTGTAGTGAGCCAGTTGTTGGAATGCATTCCTCTGCTGCCTGTCTGTCATTCAGAGAGAGAACAGCCTTTCTTCCAGGATTCCCTTCTCATTCAGTACTTACATCCAGCCAGTGTAGTACTGTCGTACTGGATCTTCCACTTTCAGACCAGCCTTTTCAAAGTTACAAAACTACTGGATTAGACGTATCTAAAAAAAGTGCACATTGTTCATTTAGCTGACTTTAACCATGATAGCTAGTGACTGGTATGTTCCAAAGCCAAGCTGCTTTTTATCAGTGACACTGTAAAAGCAGTTCCCATCAGGATGAGACTAAGAAATAGTTGGCCTCAGAACAGAGAAGCCACTGTATGCAATGGAATGAGAAAATGGATGCATATTTATTTGTCAGTCAAAGTTAAGAACAGCCTCTAAATGGGTGTGATTGAGTCTGCCTTCAGATAACTGGAAAATGTGGAAAATAATGAGTGCACACTGTTGTGGGAGCTGGGTTGGTCTTCCAGTCTGTGGAAATTTAACTCTTTAATACAGTAAGATGTGTATGTGCCTTTCATGCCCTGAGCAGGACAATGCAGCGCTGTAATGATACTCTACCAGATCAGGTAACCTGTCACAGACCTTCCTGCATATTTAACAAGTCCTGAGAACTAAAGAACATCTCAGAGCTACACTACCAGAAGAGTTTGACCTGGTTTCAGTTTTCAGCTCAAAGATTGTTTTCAATGTGATGACTATTTGTAGAAGATTGTCTTAAAGGATTGTAAGTTTAACTTACCTCAAGTTTACTGATAAAGAGACCTTAGTAGGTGTATCTGCCCATGTTCTCTGTAGATATTATGTACTCTTCATCTTTGAAAAGCAACAATGTTGTTACTACAATAATGTTGTTGATGCAAAGATTAAGATAAAATTTGAAAATCTCAAATAATAGAAATTCCTTTTGATTTACAGGTTCATTTTATAAACCTGGTATTTTTGCAAGCGGCCACTCACTGACAGAAATGCAAGACTTGTATTTGACTCAAGTCATTATCAGAGTCTGATCCAGCAATATAAATAACTCAGGAAGGAAGAATTTAAGCTTTTGCTTCTAACCAGAGATACAAATAAAATAGAATAACACATGGTTAATGTTCTTCTTAAAGAAATATCTATTTTTTTCACATGATGCTTACACACCAGGAAAGTGAAATACAGGGCATATCTTGTACAGATTTCACCATTACCACTGTTGATGACAGTAATTATTCAAAGAAGATTAAGTTGATTCCCATTCTCTTTAAGCAAATGACGTTTCAGACTCACACCTCTCGTCTCGTAGAGTTTTTCAACTTTCATGCCTAGAATTTTGAAAAGAAGAGTTTTATTAAGTTTTGTGAAACCTATCTGAGTGTTAAAGAAAAAATGTATCCCTGAGTCTCTTACAATATGTTGTTTTTGCATTATTTATGTCGATATTTCCATTCAATGTTTCAGTGTGACTTTGGCGTTCTTGTTTTCACTCTTTCATCACTAGCATTTCCTGTGTGTCTGCCAGAGGACACATTCTACATTCTACTGAGTTTTGTTTTTGAGGTTGAAATGCAATGACTCGAAAAAGCTATAAATGAGTCGAATAATTTGCTAACATTGACCACAGCGACAATGATGGATAGCAAAAACAAGAAGAGAATAAAAGTGCGAGAGGGAATAATTCACAGACTGATGGAGTGACAAGAGGAAGTGAAAGTGAGATGTTTGAGCAGCTTAATAGATGGAGGTGTTTGTAGGCTTTTGTCAGTGAATTATGCAATGGTACAACATACTGTGGTCCCTGCTGGTCTTTCATTGTTGATCTTTCCTTGTTCTCTCTGCTGATTGATGGTTCATGTTGCTAGTGAGGCAGAGAAAAGATGTGGTTTCAACCTGGTTGTGGTACACCATGGATTGTGCCCCTGGTGTGTTCTTTCTTCTGGCCTCATTTGTTTTTGCTTCTCCCATCCAGATTGTCTCCACCTCCATCTGGTTCTCTCCCAATTTCTACAATATTTGTTCTTCTTCTCTCCCCATAACTAGCCCACAGCTGTTTACAATATTAGAATAACAAGCAGATAGAAATGGAAGCATAGGTGAGGGCTTTATGAAATGAAAATGGACTTGTAGATTGAGGTTGGAAAACTTCTGCTCTATCTTTAGCTCAGATTGACCACTAATGATAAGTTGCACACTGAGTTTTGGAGCTCTTCTAATGAGTCCCAAGTGTTGCGGGGCAGTTTTAACATGACTTCATTCAAACTTGCCAGACCATGGTCACCGTTCTCAGGCCCAACTGCATGATTTTGAGTTCTTGGATTGGTGTGGTTTGGAATTTAGTGTGAATAGCACACCACTGAGCTGACTAGAACAAACATGATATGTTCCAAAATAAAGACCCTGCATGTTCTTCAGAGGCTATGTGGAAAAGCCATAAAATGGAGTAACTGGGGTCATCATGCAGATGAGATATT